TGATCATGGAACACGGCATGTGCCAGCTTCAATACTAAGCTCTACAAACTGGTTCGCCGGACCTGACTTTTTAAGAAAAGTTGATGGAGCGTGTCCTGTGCAAATGGACAGCTTTGAACTTGTTGAACCTACCACGGACATTGAAGTCCGCCCACAAGTTTCAACATTTGCAACCACATCTGTAACAAAATCACTCGACTCACACAGGTTTGAGCGCTTCTCCAGTTGGAATCGTCTTACACGAGCTATCGCCACACTCATTCGAAAGGTCAGATCTATCTCAAAGGTTCCTGAGACAAACAAACCGAAAATGGACATTCTAACACAAGCAAAGTTAATAATTATACAAACTGTTCAAGGCGAGACATTTGAAAAGGAAATCAAAACAATGAACAACAGAGAGGAACTATCAAAACACAGTGTGCTAAAAAATCTTAATGTGTTTTTGGACAAAGAAGGACTGGTGCGAGTAGAAGGACGTGTGTCTTCTGCAGAAATCACTCAAGAACAAAGTCAACCCATTGTTATCCCAAAAAAGCATCACATTGCCACTTTACTGGTTCGATTTTACCATGAACAGGTTGCGCATCAAGGCAGACACATCACTGAAGGAGCCATCAGGTCTGCCGGACTGTGGATCCTTGGAGGAAAAAGGCTGGTGTCAAATCAGATCAATAAATGCACCACCTGCCGCAGGCTACGAGGAAACATGCAGCAACAAAAAATGGCAGACATTCCAGCCGATCGTCTCACCCAAGCTCCTCCTTTCACACATGTCGGAGTAGATGTGTTTGGACCGTGGAACATCACTATCCGCCGGACAAGAGGTGGAGTGTTGGAGAACAAGCGCTGGGCAGTGATGTTTACCTGCTTAGTCACACGAGCAGTTCACATTGAGGTAATTGAGTCCCTCTCAACTTCGAGCTTCATAAATTCTCTCAGAAGGTTTCTAGCCATAAGAGGCCCAACCAAGCTCTTTCGATCCGACTGTGGAAAGAACTTTGTTGGAGCGTGCAAAAAGCTTCAGATAAGTTCTGACGATCCGGAGCTTCAATCCTACCTAAAGAATGAGACATGCACTTGGAAGTTCAACCCACCTCATTCCTCTCACATGGGAGGGGTATGGGAAAGAATGATCGGAGTGGCCCGACGTATTTTGGACGCCATGCTGATGAAAGTCCACTCTCCAAACCTGACTCATGAAGTACTCGTAACACTCATGGCAGAGGTAGCAGCCATAATGAATGGTCGTCCACTAGTACCCGTGTCATCCGACCCCCACCAACCCGACTTGCTGACGCCAAACGCCCTTCTCACTCAGAAGATCTGTCCCGTCTCTATTCCACCTGGAGATTTTGATTCAAAAGACTTGTACCGTAAGCAGTGGCAACAGGTTCAAAGCCTTGCCAACTCATTCTGGAAACGATGGCGACAAGAGTATCTTGCTACTCTTCAACCAAGAAGGAAATGGCAAGTTGATCAACCCAACTTAGCCATTGGTGACGTCGTTCTCCTCAAAGACTCTCAGGTCAAAAGAAACGAATGGCCCACTGGACTTATCGTGAACACTTATCCTGGTCGAGATAAGAGAGTGCGAAAAGTAGATGTACGCGTAATTAAAGGAGGTACTGCCAAGATTTACACAAGACCTGTTTCAGAAATGGTGTTATTAGTTAAAAGTTAATAGTGGTATAGCAGTATACCAGGCGAGGAGTGTTCTGCCCCCTTGTGGGTATTCCTGTGTTTTGAGTTCTTGTGTTTGTCCATGCAGAGCTACCGTAGTTCAGTTTGCAGCTAACAATCTTAACAGCTAATCCAACTCCACAGTGTTTGTCTCTTAACATTTTCTTTTGGCTCTTAAAAAATATCTGTCTGTAAGTATGTGTATTAATACAATACTAGCTTCAGTTAGTCTCCAAATTTAGTCATTGTAGCATGATTTAATCTGATTATTTGTTAAAATATATTCAGCGCTAATAGCGGAGCATCCCTATGGCATTTCCCATACAAATTAGCATCGTGCTAACCTTCGTTTAGCGATCTTTTTGACTTTCATGGTTTAGCCACTTTATTTTACATTTACATTGTTTGTATGCCACAATAAGACTGTAATATGCCTATTTTGTTTTTCTGTATGTTACAGTTTTACAGTCAATCAGTAAAAACACACCAACTACAGCAAGATGCTTCTGGTCCTTTATTGAAGACTGTTCGCTATCTGTAAAGCTAGTTCCCTTACACTAGTAAAGGCAGAATAATAATAATACTGGTCAGCAACTGTTTGGAACATGCACACATGTTCAAAATACACTAATGAAATGAGTGTGATGTGAGACCAAAGCAAACCTGACCTTGCATTGGTTTGAGTTTACGGTAATCAATTTAAATATTATCATTCATATTAGTTATTATTACTATTATTTTAATTTGTTTGTCTTTGTTTTTTTGTCTAATTTCTTGTTATTCTGCTCTGCTGTCTATCCTGTTTTTTGTGTGAATTTGAACATAATTTCACTTCAAAGTGAAATGAGACAGGAGCTTTTAGACAGAATGGGCAGCGTTTGTGCCAGAAGTTCCTTATATTTCCTTGGATCTAAAAACAACTCCAGGTCTGTTATTGATGCCTGAACAATGTAGTAACATGGTTAAATGTATTTGCGTAATATGTCTCCTTTCATTCTTGTCAGTAAGATTTGGGTGTTTGTGGTTCAACAGTCTCCATAATCTGATTCTACCCCAACTTGTGTGGACATACAAGTACTTTACATCTTTATTTCAGAAAAGGCAGATTAAATGTAAAACTTACCATCAACCGTATCTACTCACTACATACTGGTGTATCCTTTCAGCTGTTCGTACCAAATAGTCACTCACTAGATGAATTCAAAAGAGGGTTAACCATGAAATCACAAACTAAACTACGCCTCCAGACTTTTCTATGATGCAAAGAAAACATGGACAGACTCTTTATGAAGAGGTTCACAGTGTTATAGGCTCTGAAGTTTCCCATCCAGACAAGAGTACATCAAGAGAGTGGCCCACCAGCTCAGAACAGAGACCACCTATGCTTTGTTTTAGGATGAAAGACCTAAACAATTACATGCTATTCAATTTTACAATTCTGAAATGCTGTGATTTCACTTTGAAATGTGGGAGCGCTCAATAAAATCCTTTAAACACTTCCAAACACCAACAAACTATAGGGAACAAACACACATCCATACATTGATATTCTAGTCAAGCCACAGCTGTCTGAGGATTAACAGAGAGAAACATTAGGCGCCAACTGCCTCTCTGACCACCAGTGAAATTTTCACAACAATATAACAATATGCCAATCCATGTCCGAGTTTGTGGATAGTGCTGTGCTACAATGTTACTGTCTACAGCCAACTATGAACCAAGATGAAGGGGCTTTTGTGCTCCCACACATCTGGGAAACACTTCTCCAGGGGCCAGCGACAGCCGAAGAGTCAAGACGAAGAGCTAACAGCCCATCTTGTCTTTTAAAAAGGACAGTCAATGTTGTACAAATGTAGAGGAAAACAATATTTTCTGTTGGAGCTGTCCACAGCAAGAATGCATGGCACAAAGGAGAGCACCAATGCCATGTTGACCAAGAGAATAAGATTTCTATGTTCTGTATTTTTCCATTGGACCAGAGAGTGTGTGTTTTTGTAAACTAAATACAAAGTTGTACAAAAATGTGCAAATATGTACAAAAATAAAAAAAATATGGATTGATGAAACAGGTCTTGAATAAAATCTGTTGATTCAAGTTGAAAGTTGGACTTTGATGTGTTTCCAGGCGATACAGAGTTCAGAAAACAAAACCATGGTTTGAGATGGTAACGATACTGTTTAGCCAAGTAGCCCCGCTGGTTAGGGAGGAAGAGAGAAGAGGATCTCCAGAGGAGGTCTTGTGGTGCAGCCACAGCAGCAGGAGAGCAGGCTGCAGCCCTGTCACTCACATGCAGAATGTGAACTCTCTCAACAGGAGCTGCTTAGAGGTTCCAGCATCTGTACTGACAAATGCAATCAATAACAACAATAACGCCAAAAACGGTGTAAAACAGCTGACAAGACACGCCACAGGAATATCACGAGACCACTGTGTGCCAGCAGTCGAAGCGCTCAGGTACATTGAAACAAATCTCAACTTGTAGTATCATCAGAAGACCAACAGAACCTCATTGGACTAGGAGAGAAAAATACAAATAATAATAGTAAGTAAGTAAATAATATAAGTAAAAAGTAATCTTTATTTATATAGCGCTTATCACATGTAATGGATATAGAAATTCACTTTATATTTTTTGATTACAATTCCTGGTTATATTTTATTTAAAAGTTTAATTTTGTGTGAATTTTATTATTTTGACCTTTTATTTTGAAATTCCCGGAAGTGCGTGCTGCTCCCGTGTTTTATTTTCGTACTCAACTTTCCCTGCCGTTTTCATCCCGTAGGGGAAGCCAGTGTGTCCGTTGTGACTAAATTTTTTTATTTTTGGTCTGTCACAGGTATGATTTATTTATTTTTATGTGAAAAATGTTTTTATTTGTGCATTTGTGCTCCACTGCCTCCAGTGTATATTTATTTTGTTTTTGTTGCATTGTTCACGTGGAATTGAAAATCCTGTTGCAATGTTCTTATTTGCTCCCCTCCCCCTCAAAGCCGCATTGTATGCTTCAGAGGGGGGAGCCAGTGTGTCCGCTGTGACTAAAAGTTTATATTTTTGGTCTGTCACAGGTCTGAGTAAAGTACTTGACTCCACACTGTGTCCTGTTGTTTGTATACGGCTAGTGGACGCCTTTGCAGCCGTTACACACAGACCAGAGTCAAAAAGCGCTTTACAATTGTGAGCATTTATAATATTAGCTTTTGAATACTGACATTAACATCTACATCCATTCTGTTGTCCTGTACAGTAGTTTTGGCCTCTAATGACATATTTACTCATTATAAGTTATAACAACATTGGTTCTCTGGTCAGACTTACGTCGCCCAAAAAACATGGTGGAATCCCCTCATTGACCGCCTCGCCAGCTGTGGGTGCTGACTTGTGTGGACATTGTTTACTTGTCTCCAGCAACGGTACATGGCACAAAAGAGAGAACCATTAATTAACGTCAAATTGTCTATATTTTTTTGATGGTATTGATTTTGTTTATTGCACTGGACCTTTATGTGTTTCTGTGTTTAAATGTTTGTTCTAAAAATGGAAAAGAGGAATTCCAAAGCCTGCCTAAGCATCTGACAGACAGCAGAATGACCAACTCTCCCCTTTCACCACTGATACAAATTTCAAATAGAAAATAGATTAGAGACATGTGAAGTATTTTTTGCTGGACTGAAAATTATGGAAGACACCTCTTTATCTTGATGTTTTATCTTTCCAGGAGTTTAATGGTTATATTTTATCATTTGGCTTGAAATGCAAAGCCTTCATGGAAGTGTAAAGGAATATTCAGAGCCTCCATATGTTAGTGTGTGGTCGGCCGACAACATCAGAGAAAACCTGAGTCTAATTTACTGCGGCTGTGAGCATGAGTGAGCCCCAGAAATGAGAGCGCACTCTGGATAAAGACTTTGTGGAATCCTGTGGGGCTGGAGAAATATGGATGTGCTCTGGATGTCAATAAAAATTACGCTATATTCAGTCAAAGAGGATAAGATATGATGCTGAAATCAAAACCCAGAGTACCAAAAACTGCCCCTGGTGTTCATTCTAGTTCAGCAGTATCCCATTTTCATCGAACAAAGAACACTACTGTTCAGTTTAAAGTTGGATCACCTACTACCGGTACGTGTTTTTTAAAAGTTCATAAATACATTGTGTTTGTCCGAACAGAAGTGGAATGTTGTGAACTAATCTGACCACAAAATGCTGTCTTCATGTTTATGCTTTAATTCCTGAGAGCTGAGTGAGCATTGATTGAAAAAGCTGATCTAAATATGAGACCGAGGCCCAAAATACGTACATGTGAAAACTAGCAATAGCTTTAAAAACAGTTAGAAAAACACTGGATTTTATTATATAGTTATTTTTTGAGGATTCAAAGTCAAGCATCCCAGTGTTACACTTTGACTTTGTGTAATCGAATTAAATCAGACACACACCGGAGCATAGTTTTCCGTGGCTTTACTTCGTGCTGGTCAATGTAGAAAAAACGCACCTTACATCCCTACTCAGGGGAATAACGTATGACGTGCTGACGTCATCCTCAGTACATGACATCCCCTCCTTTCTTGGATTAAAACTTTACCCAATGTATCAATAACAATTTTAACACTCGTAACACCATTAAGATATCTCATATTACCTTCAACATAAATCTTATCACAGTGGCACTGTTACAGTCCACAATATCTGTACCAAACTCGTGGATTATCATTTACCATTAACATTTTCAAAATAAACCTTTTCTTCCGAAACATTCTCAGAATAACCTTTTTGTTCCTTCAACTCCTAGAACCATTTCTGCTCCAGACATTATGCATTCAATATCAATTGCTGAACATATTCAAAAATGTAAACATTCATATCCCAACAACATAGAATTCACTTTCATTGAACATGAATATTCTTTTTTTTTAAAATACATTCATCACTTCATAATGAAGTCCGTGAATCTCTCCGGCTGCTTTATTTCTCTGCGAGGCCGCTCAGTCGGTGTGGTCAGAGGTCGGCTTGGAGATGACCCCTGAGTGAGTGTCTCTGGTGTGGACCTCACAGACGGTTCTGCATGAGTCTCTCTCTCTTTCGGTGCCTCACTCTCGCCAGGTGAGGTTGTCTGCTCTGCTGGTGTGTACACCTTAACATGTGTGGTATTTCTGGAGTACTGAGCTCCACTGGGTGACTCAACTACAACATTATTACCATTCTTACTCACTACAGTGTGTGGTGTGTGATTAAATGTTGTGGTGAATTTGTTAACCTTGTCCTGTTTCAGCAGAACTTCATCTCCCACCTGCACCGGTGATGGTTTCGCGCCGCGCCGCTGGTCTGCATACTCTGCATACTTGCCCTTGTTCTCAGCATCGGTGTCCCGTGCCTCGATGTCGATTCTCGGCGTGCTGATGTCTGGCAGCTTTCCCCGGAGCTTCCGGTTGAACAGGAGTTCAGCAGGGCTCCTGCCCGTGGTTGAGTGCTCGATCGACCTGTAGACGGTGACGTACTTTCGTAGCTCCTTCTGCCAGTCCAGCCCCTCTGCGTGCGCGATGCGAATTCTTTTCATGATGGAGGCATTCTGCCTCTCGACCTCTCCATTTGCCTGTGCCCATTTCGGTGTCGTCTTGACGTGTTGTATGCCGTTCTCCTTGCAGAAGTCCTGGAACTGTGTTGACAGAAACTGGGGCCCACAGTCAGATCGGATGGAGACTGGTAGACCATGGCGACTGAAGATGTTCTCCAGACTGTCAATCACTTTCTCTGCTGTAGTGGAACGCATGATCTCGTACTCATAGTACCGACTGTAGTAGTCTACTACTACCAGGATTGAATGTCCTGTAGGTAAGGGACCTAATAAGTCTGTGGCAAGGTCTTGCCAAGGCCCGTCAGGGAGAGCAGTGGGCCGCAATGGCTCGGGTACATCAGGACGTGCCTCTAGTTTGCATCCATCACAGGCCTTCACATATTTTTCTGTTGCCATATACATCCCCGGCCACCACACTTTCCCCCTCAGATGCTGCTTCATCCCTACCATGCCTAAGTGTCCCTCGTGAGCTAAGATTAAAGCTCTGCTGCGCAGTGACTGTGGAAGCACAATCCGTGTCCCCCTCAGCACTAATTGTCCAATAGTACACAGTTCATTCGCTATGCGGCCATAAGCTGAGCACTTTTCAAAACGGCCTGTCTTGATCGCTTTTCTCACCTCATCCAGTTCTTTGTCCTCCGCGGATGCTCTCTCCACCTCCCTTGTGGTAAGTGCCCGCGGTGTAGCCTGCACCGCCACGAAGCGCACGTATTCCTCTGCTCCATGATGATGTGGCGTGCTCTTAGCGCTTTTCCCCAGCAGACGTGACAGGGGATCTGCTATGTTGAACTTTCCCGCGATGTGCACGACTCGAAAGTCGTATGGCTGCAGGCGGAGCACCCAGCGCTCGATCCTAGCGCATGGCTTGGACTTGGGGCTGTAGATCACCTGTAGGGCTTTGTGATCAGTCACTAAGTCGAACCTCTTGCCGTATATGTATGGGTGTAGACGCTCGCATGCCCACACCAGTGCCAGGGCCTCTTTCTCCGTCTGCGAGTATCTCGTTTCACAGTCTGTCAGGCTCCTGCTTACATAACATATAGGCACCATAGCACCCTGTTGCTCTTGGATTAGAACTGCCCCTATGCCCACCGGGCCTGCGTCAGCTATCACTTTGGTGGGGGCATCTTTGTGAAAGTATGCCAGCGTTCCCGCCTCTGCCAATTTCAGTTTCAGTGTCTCGAACGCCACCTGTTGCTCTGGCCCGAAGACGAACGGTACCTCTTTCTTTGTCAGCCTCCGCAGCGGCTCTGAGATGGTCGCAAACTGGGGTATGAAACGGCTGCTGTACCCAGCTAGACCCAGAAAGCTGCGTACCTCTGATGCGTTCTCTGGCTCACGCGCCTCTTCCAGGGCTCTGACTCGCTCACTGGTAGGCCCTACTCCCTTTTCAGTCAGTAAGATGCCCATGAACACTAATTTGTCCATCTCAAATTGACACTTCTCACCGTTCAGGGTTAAGCCGCACTTCTCCAGCCTCTCCAGCACTGCATGTAGTCGCTGGCGATGCGTGTCGTGGTCAGGTGCATGGACGATGATGTCATCGGAGATGTTGGCCACTCCCTCGATGCCTGTCAGCGCCGATGCCACCTCGTACTGATACTGCTCACTCGCAGACGAGACCCCGAATATGAGTCTCTTGTAGCGGTATGTTCCGCTGTGTACGGCGAATGTTGTGATCGCCCTTGACTCCTCAGTGAGCTCCAGCTGGTGGTAGCCCCACCGCAGGTCGAGCTTACTGAACACAGCTGACCCGTTCATGTCATGCAACAGTTCATCAACGGTCGGGATCGGGTACCTGCCCCGGATGATTGCCCTGTTTGCCATTCTCATGTCCAGGCATAAGCGAATGTCTTTGTCCTTTGCCTTCGGCACCACTACGACAGGGTTCACCCATGGCGTTGGACCCTCCACTTTCTCGATGATGTCCATTCGTAGCAGCTCCTCGATCTTCCTATCGACCGCCTCCCGCAGGTGGAATGGTACCCGTCTCAGCGGCTGTGCTACGGGCTCCACGTTGCCGTCGATGTGCAGTCTAACTTGCTTAGTGTTAAGCTTACCCACCCCTGTGAATAACTTTGGGTATTTTCCTTGCACCTCTGTCTTAACATCGGTGACTGCTGCAACACCTACACCCACCCTTAGCACTCCTAGCTCTGTAGCTGTCTGCCTGCCAAGTAGCGGTACACCCTGGCCTGCGATCACTGTGAACTCTGCTTGTGTCGCTCTTTTGCCTATCTTCACATCACATGTGAACACTCCCTTTACCGGCAGTGGCTCCTTTGAGGAATATGTGTACAATTTCTTGTCGGATTTGGCTGACTCACAATTAATTTTCTTTTTCTTCAGCCCTTCCCATGTATTTTCATCAACTATGTTGGTCGTGGCCCCTGAATCAATCAACATTACTAGGTCCACGCCACCCACATTAAATGTCAGGCTATCTGTGTTGCTATTGTCACGCACAACAAACGCAAAATCTTTTTCCTGCTTTTCATCTACATACTTCACTGACCCCCTACTACCTTTTGACTTGCACATCTTGGCGTAGTGGTCCTTGCCGTTGCACTGTCTGCAGGTTTGTCCGCGAGCTGGGCATTTCTGGTCTTTCGCGAAGTGGTCGCCATGTCCACACCTGAAGCAGACTTTGCCTTTCTCCTCTCCCTCGCGTCTTCGGAATTTGCCCCGCTCTCCTCTCCTCTTCGAGATTTGGTTCACCGCCTCGGCGCCTTTAATGTCTGTGTCGTTCACTCGCATTGCCGCCATCTGTTCCTCCACCCTCTCACACTGTGCCGCGATCTCTAGTGCTTTGTCGAGGACTAACGCCGAGCCCTCCTCGAGCAGTTTCCTCCGCACATACTCCGACGAGCATTTACTTAGCACAGCATCCCTGAGCTGGTTAGACAAGTCGCCCCCAAATGCACAGTCTTTTGCCGTCCGGCGTAAACGGGTTACGAACTGCTGTACAGTCTCCCCTGCATTCTGTGACAGTTGGTAGAAAGTTTGGCGTGCAAATGCATTGTTCACCTTTGGTACGAAGTAGTCGTTTAGCGCCTTCACAGCCTTGTCATAGTCCGACGAACCTCCAGTGTCGTCCAAAGTGGAAAAAATATCCTGCACATCCGTCCCGGCGTGATGTAGGAGTAAAGCACGTCTCCGAATCTTTGTGTTGTCGGTGACCCTTGCGTCCAAGATTAAACCTTTCCCGTCAGCAAACAGTTCAAACGCCGTTAGCCACCTGGTCCAGCGAGGACCTAGCGTAGCTGGCTCCTTGTAGCAATCAAACTTTGGCACGGATGATTTGTCCTCCATCTCGAAGATACGGACTAATCTCACTTTCAGATTTAACTATACGAAGTCGATTATTATCCTCGTCGCCAATGTTACACTTTGACTTTGTGTAATCGAATTAAATCAGACACACACCGGAGCATAGTTTTCCGTGGCTTTACTTCGTGCTGGTCAATGTAGAAAAAACGCACCTTACATCCCTACTCAGGGGAATAACGTATGACGTGCTGACGTCATCCTCAGTACATGACACCCAGCTTTAAATGATAGTGCTAATTCTCTTGTGGCACAGGCTCTGGTTTAAAAAGATAATTTGTTCTTTGTTTATGCCTGATTTATTTCAGATGAACTGTCAAGTTTGATTCATATTGGGAAAATGACACGAACTAACACCATGCATTTCATATGATTATCGTCCAGAAAAATAAATAAATAAATAAAACAAACAAATCCCAAGTGATTTTAATCGCCAGCATCTCTTCAACAATCTTCTCCAAGTTTTCTCTCGTCATATGATCTTAATATTAACGGCATTACATCCGTGTTACATTCTGTTACCGTTTAGAAATTGTTGCTTTCAAAAAACAAAGTCAAAACAAAGCAGGCTGTATTCCCTGCAGCTGCACTGGCTTGGTTCTTCCATGTCTATCTGTGAGCAATAAAGGGCCTTTGAAGACTATAAGGTACATTTATTCGAGTTTTGAGAGAAACGTGGTCGTTCCTGAGGCTACAAACTATTTGACAGCTTTGCACAAGTGTGAGTTACCCAAGTACGTCTGAAATTGGTTTATGACGGCATATGGCTCATTTGGTTTTATGTTCACTTCAGCCTTTCTAGACAAAATAATAACAATAACACAAAACAAAACAGGCAAAGTTATATCACTGCAAACCACACGTTAATTTAATAAGTGCAACCATTCTCTCCATCGCATCCATGACTGACTGGAATATAAGCCAAAAAATACAACTGGCTTCACAGCTCAAAACTAACACCACAGAGAGCGGGTCAGGTTAAAAGGGTAATACATACATTTTCTGGTTGATAGTCCGGCACATGTTAAATAAGTTTTATTTGTCTGACAATGTCCACAGTATGGTAATAAACTGACGAGAGTGAGTAACACACCCATCTAACGGTGGTGGGTGGAAAATATATAATGCCCAAATGTAGATCTAAACTTGACATGGCACAATGTTGTTCTTGGCACTAGAAGAATCATTTGACTGGAGAGATTCCCAAAACTATCCAGGCAAAGCTTCTGTTTTAAAAAGCATAAAATTACTCAATCCTTAAGATAATTAGATTTGGTACAGCAACACAAGTTTGAGAAACGAGCATTTAGACGATTAAGTTCAAATCCTTTGGAACAGGGCCTCTATGAGTGGAGTTTGCATGTTCTCCCTGTATCTGCATAGGTTTATTCTGGGTGCTCCGGTTTCCACTTCTACTAATATGTAATATTCTCCAGCTATGGTGGTCCTAACCAAGGAGAAATGCAAAGAACGATCACAGGGACGATAAATGATATCTTCATTTAAAGACGAGTTTGAAAAAGGCGCTTTTGGACAGATTTAGCGGGCATGTTTGGCTCATTTGTCGCAGGAGTTTCTGACATTGGTGTGATTGAAGCTAAAAACATCTCCGGGTGCTCATGATTACCATACTGTGGGACACACTGTGTGCATGATAAGCAGGTAGCGGACCACAACAGAAAAGCTGTATGGTGAACTTTTAAACAGGCCGAGTTAGCTCAATGATAAAGGCGGGTTCTCTCAGGTGCACTTAAATACCTTGAGTGGGCGAAGGTCAATTTTGTGACGCGGCCAATCGTCAATCATCATAAAGAAAGCCCCGCCCACTCAGTGTAAAGAAAAAAGCTAGAATGACATCACAATGAACAGGCACAACACACTGTTTCCCAAAATGCATGTGACATGTGTGACTGGTGATTTCCAATTGAATAAGAAAGAGTGAAGTATCTTGGATGTTTTCTGATTCAGAAGCATATATTGTGGGAAACGCAGCATATCGAATGATGCTAGAAGCAGAAAGTCACTCAAGCTCAGTCAAGTTTATCTTTACCTCCGTTGCATGTCCTCATTGGTTTGATGAGCTGTCTACACCAAACACAAGGGCACATACATAAACAGTACAAGTGAGTGACATAATGAACCTGCACAGGGGAATGTTGTTTTCACTACTAACTAAGTCAACAAGTCAAGTAGCCACCCCCAAAAGGTCTATAGTGTAAGATAGAGAAAGACTTACTTTTAAGCAGTTGACTTGAAAGTGTCAAAGTGGTTCTGATTCTGTGCTAGTTTTTTGTTTGTGAATTTAAAAAAGATGAGAGCCAAAACAAGCAAAAAATTACATAACAAACTGGCAATCCCCAAACGATAGACTCTGATTGAAAATTGTAAACATTTATACTATGGGAATCATATCCATTGTATCTTTATTAAGAATAACTCCCCTTTAAACTTTTGTTCAGAAAATGTGTACAACAATGTTGAAGTACTATCTGGTGACACTTTAAAATGAAAATATTATGTATTGTCCCTGTATATACAATAATGTTTTTTCAATGATCTTTTATTTGTGAGTTTGGAGTTCAAATAGGCCCTGATTCATCCCAGATGTGATTGAAAATAAGCTGGATACAGAGTTGTGTGAGTGGATGTTTTTTATGCCCAACACTGCTTTTTTGTTGACAAATAAAAATAGATTAAAAGGGACTGTGTTTGTGCCTTTGGAAGGGTGCAATTTCCCATATAAAAAAGTCAAATATGCTCAAATGAAGTCATTTGAACACATTGAGATGCTGTTTGCTCCAGTGTGTGGTCTTACCTGTGTTGCTATGGCGCTTGTTGAAGGGGTTGAAAGTGGCTTTGGCCTTGGAAGTCCAGTTGGCTGTACTGGAGCCGAACGAGCTGGAGGACAGAGACTTGCCCAGGTTTTCAGAACTCACTTTCTTTGTGTTGTTTGTCGCAGTCTTACTCCAGTCTGCGTAAAAAACACCAACACCAGGAGGTTTCAAAAGTCTTCAAAACCTATACAAACGTTTTAATCCTAAACCATGACATTATGTACATTTATAAAGAGATGGCAATTTCTGCTATCTTTTAAAATATAAGTACCTGTACTCTAGTGGTGTGCATATCATAAAATATGATCTTGTTAATTAAAGCTGGGTCCCTAAAATTACTAACTTACCAATCTAAAAAATAACTATACATTATACAATCCTTCTGACTAGTTCCTCTATCTCAGATTCAGTTTCACACGTCTGTATATTTTGCTTCTGTCTCTTAGCCCAAAACGTCCAATACTGCCTCACAGGGCAAGTAAACATAAGATACCACTGTTTCTAATGATGATTTAAGGCAGGGGTGGCCAACCCGCGGCTCGTGAGCCGCATGCGGCTCTTTGGCTGGTTCCGTGCGGCTCTCGGGCTTTCACACGACAAGCGTCAAAAACGCCTTGGTGGTGGCGCTGCCATTCATTCTCTATGTAGTTCTGACCCATAGTAAAGGCCGACTTCACTCCACTAGCCGGGCCGCCAAAACAATCTGACGTCGGCGAACGTCAATTCTGATTGGTCAGATGCGCTGTCAATCACTCTGCAGCTGCTGCCTCATCTGTTGCAAATATCATAACAAACCACACGTTGCCTCGACCCATGGCGTCCGTACGGAAAACAATTCCTTGGTCGCTGGATGAGGGCAACACCTTCCTCAGTTTGAGGAGAGGACACCAGCGTGAGCTCGATGGTTCCACCAGAAACCAAAAGGTGTTTGTGGAGGTAGCACTAAGGACGGAGCAGAATGATTCCCACAAACATGACAATGCAGAGAAAAGTTAAAAAGCTTAAAAGTGACAACCGTGAAATGAAAGATCGCAGCAGCAGAAGTAGAGGCAGACCCGAAAAGTCTGGAGGTGGTTTGACCAAATGGATTACATTTACGGACATCGGCTAACACCGGCTAACATGCTAAAACCAGCTAACATGCTAAAACCAGCTAACACCAGGAGATAAGCCTCAACTCTGCCTGGTGAGTGTCTGTCTTCAATCAAATGCAAAAGTATCTGGTCTTATACTGAACATGTGTCTGGTTCTAAATCAGCTAAAGTGGTGTTGGTGTTATGTGTCAAATCTATATCTTTTACTAAACGCAGTCAGAGTGAATCATGGTTCGATAAAGACAGTTGTGTTTCTGCTGAACACTGGGTTGAAACTTGATTTTTTTTCTTGGTTAGAGATTGAAAGCATTCATTTCGGAATCATAATTGATGTTCGCTGACGTGAAATTGTTCTGGTATCGACTCGCCCGGTTAGAACCAGGGCCAAACCATTGATAAAAAGTACCGGGGAGCGGTTGAAGCGAGCGGTAGAAGCGCCCGCAAACCAGGGAGAGTCGAGTCCTGCCCTTTAGTGCTGTACGAGTCAATTTCTGTCATTATCATGTTGATGACATTTACAATAAACCTGTCTGAGCAGAGCAGACCTCTCTCTGCTCAGACAGATTGCATGTGTGTGCGCGTGTCTGCTCGTGTGCGTACGTGCACGTGTGTGTGCGTGTGTAAGGGATGGGGTGATGTTTATGTAGTGCACATTTGTATGATGTGGCTCTTTGCTGTAACACGGTAAAAAAAATTGGCTCTTAGTCTCTGACTGGTTGGCCACCCCTGATTTAAGGTGTTTAACAGCTAAACCGTTAGCTTTCATGTCAGTACTGATTCACCAGTTTATTTTGACAATAAACAACTGTCCTGTAAAGCTGGATGGAGGCAACAAAAAAATGACAGTATGTACATATTTAAATCTGTTATCAAACCTATACAGTAGAGGACAAAAGTGGACACACTTTCTCATTCAATGAGTTTCCTTTCTTTTCATGACTATTGACTGTACAGTAGATTCAGACCCAGGCTGTGTAAGGGCTGTTTGAGTGGTGGAGAGTGGTGGATGCTGGGCTTAGATGACCTGGCCTCCACAGTCACCGGACCTGAACCCAATCCAGATGGTTTTGGGGCTGGACCACAGAGTGAAGGGGAAAGGGCCAACAAGTGCTAAGCATCTCTGGGAACTCTTTCAAGACTGTTGAAGACCATCAAGAGAATGCCAAGAGTGTGCAAAGCAGTAAACAGAGCAAAAGCTGCTACTTTAAAAAGAATATAAGACATATTTTTAGTTGTTTCATACTTTATTTGTAGTATGTACATAATTCCGCATGAGTTAATTCATAGTTTTGATACCTTCAGTGTGAATCTACAATTTTGATAATCATGAAACTCTTTGAATGAGAAGGTGTGTCCAAACATTTGGTCTGTATAGTACATTAGGACAATCCTTACATGCTCATACTATACTGGTACCTTGTTGAGAACTTTTTTTTGCAATGTCTTTTAAAGTCTGTGCAGCCCCGATAACAATAGCATTACATTATTAGTCGACAAAAATGAAAGACTAACACACTGAAGAGCTGTTTGTTCAATATAAATATATGAATTAAATCCATGTTTCTTTTCTAGATCTCATCTCTTGACCTTGAATCGGTGACAGGATATTTTCATGGGTAATTGGCATATGTTCGCTAATGTCTCCCACATGTGCACTTGTTAAATTTGAGGTTGGGAGTGTATCTGTACGCTGAGGAGAATAAATGCATTACACAAATACTCGTTTCACATTTAAATAAAAAACAGGACGTCATGTCGGACCCACGTGGAGAGCGTGGTGGGCTGAAAAAACAGTCAAACTAATGCATGCTAACGTTTGTTCTTGTCAAAACAATGATCTACAATAATAACAGGCATAAATGATAATAATAAATGGCATAAAACAATATTCAAATGCTGTGTCACAAGATAAATAATATCAGAAACCTTTTACAAACAGTAAACAACGCAAACAGAGAACCCCAGACTTTCCTGTCCAAACATGGTTTTTAGATGACTCCACATTTACCTGCCCTAGGACATTGGATACAATTTAGCTTTTATGACAATTCCAGCATATTTATGTTGAGTTTTATGTTGGCTGACACATTTATTAATATGTACAAAACGAATCATTTTAAACAGTCATTAGAGAGTCCCAAAGTTTGTGGCTAGAGCCAATGTGGTTTGGGGTAAGTTGAAACGCAGATAACAGAAAACAGTGCAGAAGTTTCTCTGGTGTCTGCTTTCATGTGCCAAAATAGTTCTAACCTTCTTTTATTGTTTGGATTGGGCCATTGCTTCTAGAGCCCTGCACGGGCCTATTATCTGGGCCCGAGCCCGGCCCGAGCCCGGCCCTGGCCCGGGGGGGGGGGGGTGGCGCCCCAGCCCGGCCCGATATGGTTTCTGAATTTTCAGGCCCAAAACCCGCATCAAGCCTGACCGCGCACTGATATGAACTCAGACTTAGCTAGAGGGCGGAGTTATACATGGTAGTGATGTGTTGCAATGAGTTCTGTGTGTGCGGAGTAGTGCAGAGTGAACGGCCGCATCTGTATGATGCCCAGATGCTGCAACACACCTGTCCCTACTCCTGCTGGGACCATGCCCAGATCACCTTCCCTGAGACAAAATAAAGCTTTTTACTTGAGCTAGAAACAATACAAACTGTATTACTGTATGACTACTTATTTGTGTATTTGCTTTCATCCAAACAATATTTTGTTTGTTAATTGTGTTAATAAAAAAAGAGAGCCCAACCAGTTTAATTTCACACAAGTGAGAGGCTCCTTCTCTCAGATTGGATAGCATGTTTTATTTAAGAATACTTCCAGTTTTATTTATTACAATTATCGATATGGCTATGTTAAGCTATATTTGCATAGTTTATCAGACCCTTTCTGTTTTGTATTCCTGTATTCTTTATTCTTTATTTTTTATGTTTTATTTTGTTTTGTTGTTGTATGTTGTTGCAATTCACTTGAAGTCACTTGCCAAGGACTGAATCTGATATTATGTGGATTGAAAATGTGGAGCGACGGAAACTTTTACTAGAATGAGCGACGAGTGACCGAAGTCTCAAATGCCAAAGCCGAACAGTCCCACCCTCCTCAGCGCCCGCTGTTAAATAATAACTGTCTAGCTAAGGATGTGCTACTCATTCCTATTAACAAAGGATATTTATCAAACTGTTTGTTGTAAGTGTCCATGTATTTTTTTTATCTAAGGGTAGTGTTATTGGTTAATAACTGGTTTTATTGTTTTAGAATTTCCAAGATTAAACCCAGCTTTATTGTGATTTCAGCGCAAGACATTTTGACTCCAACCTAGAACCAAACTTGGCTCAGATCATCCACCTAATTCAGTAAAAGTTACAACATGAGACGTGCCATATTTTTTCCAGTAACAAGTCAGCTGTGAGAAAATTTTGCAACCAAACCATGAAGTTATTTTTGTGTTTTTTTATTTTTTGCAGAATGTGTATTTAAAACAATGAAGTAGCGACTCATTGTTTAAATGTGCGTATTTTAGTTTTGAAATTGTGAAGTTAGTATCTTCATGCTGAGATTGTAGACGTAGAACACCTAGAACTATCCAACATACCTCTCACTTGCCAAAGTCTAATATCTTCAAGAATTACACCAATGAAACTATTCTAACATTGGAATCGCAGTCAGATCAAAAAGATACTGAGATGAGATTAGATTAATGAGACATGTTTGTAATTGAAATACACATTATTTTTTTCTTGTTTCAAATTCCAGAATGTAAACGTGACCTTTTCTAGTTCAAATCTTAGGTGAAATCAGGACGTACATGGCTCATTGCCAGGCCTAAATGACTAGTGCGGGTTCAGCAGGACCCTTGATACTTCCTGCTCCTCTGAAGACAAAGACTCCTTTTTCATTAGGGTCAAATCCGCAGGGCTTAAATCGTTTCCATGATTTAATAAAGACTTCACTGGGAACGTGGAAGTCTGCCAGGATTCAGGTTGCAGGCGGGCTTTGATCTTCTTTCTTTGGCTTGGAAGATCGTCCTATTTTGTTTTAGGTGGCATACGGTTTTATACAAAAATCTGATTTTGACTCATCACAAAGTTATATTTTCCTTTGTCATATATAAATAAAGTTGTTCATAGAGTGATTCATACAAGTTTGAGTTAGATATTACCTTCTGCATTCAAGCTGCTGTTTTCTCTGTAGATCCACAATTTCACCGCTGGTTGCAACTGTTCTTTGCATTGGTCATGGATTTATTTTTTGTAATTAGGAATAATAACATTTTGGTTGTTAAAAATGTGACTGTATATTATGATGTATAAAAGAGATTTACCATTTGTCATATAGAGCAGTCAAACGTGCAAAAAAAATCTCAAGAATAAATAAAGGTAGAGGAGGACGCTACGAGGTGGACCTGGCAGTAATGGGAGTCAGTAGATAGGTGCTCTTTGGTGAGGGGATATTTATGGCATGTCTCAAAAGACCTCACTGAGCTCTAACGCAGGGAACAAAAACCTGATGAATGCCAAACAATAATAAAGACTTCTTAACTAAGAATAAGAGAGTGCCTTGTTGTTTGTATTTTAATACATAGTAAAGATACCAACACACAAAACGTTCTGACTAACTTTGTAGTGCCACTGATCAATTCAAATGATGTGGAAGGACTGTTGAAGATCTGAACATGGTTTAGGGTTAGATTAAACCCCTTTAGCAACTGTAAAACATATCTTTAGCAGCTTGAGTGTTTGTAGGGGACTGACCTGAGTTATCAGACAAACGGAAGCGTCCACAGCAGAGGTATCTTCTCCACTGCTTCTGCACATTCTCCTTCAGTGCACAGTGAAAGATGAAGATAAATAGGCCTGTTAAATAAACAAAAAGGGGTGAATGAAACATGATTGAGCCTGGGGAATGTTTTGTCACTTTAATTTTAAAAAGAAAACACTTTCATTTGACAGTAAATGGCTTCACAATAAAAGGTCACATCGAATATAGTTTTCAAAAAATAAATAAAGCACAACTAGTAAGTAAGAAAGTAAGCTTTTATTTATATACCGCCTTTTCACAGACCAGAGTCACAAAGCGGTTTACAATTGTTATTTTTTGGGCACTTGTCCTCTCACTCCACACAGAGATGGGAGCGGGGTCGCCGAACAGGAGGCGCATGCCAGACCTATTGTACATATTTTTAGTGGAAGGGGAAACCGGAGTACCCGGAGGAAACCTACGCAGACACGGGGAGAACATGCAAACTCCACTCAGAAAGGCCCTGGTCCAGCCGGGATTCGAACCCAGGACCTTCTTGCTGAGAGGCGAGAGTGCTATCCACTCTGCCACCGTGCCGCCCATACTGCACATACACAGTACTTGACTATTAAGTGCACCTTTCTATAAACTGCACCAGATACATCTGAAAACGGCATTTGTGTCCACATATAGGCCATACTTGAATATAAGCAGCAGGTTTTCATGGAGAAGTAGCTTTCATGGAAAAGTAGCTGCTCCAGTAAGTCCTATATATTGATATTGACAGCTGATTTTGCAGGGTTAGCATGTTTCACAGGTAGTCATCTGGATAAAGATTTAGTGCAGAGACTTTTTGACTCTTTTCTTCCAAGAATCTAGTCTGATCTGTGTCTGGGAACGTGGGACTAAGAAATAATTCTACAATCAAACTTCGCCCAAATGACTACTTTTGAATGTTGTTCTGCAATGAATTGTAAAAAAGGGATTGCTCTGCTTTGTCTCTAAATGTACATCATATTTGAGAAAATAAGAGGGCTGCTGTAGGCTTGTATTTCCTCACGCTCATATATTTCCGTTCATCGTTTACAAAAATTGATAGTTATGATTTAATCAACAAAGTGACCTATGATTTACTTCACCACTCCTTTAGTGAAACATAATCACATTATCGTGGATTCAGTGGTGATTTGTAGAAGTATTTTTCTAGAAATGTATAGATGCACATATTTCACCTTGGCCACCATAAGAGAGAAAGAACACAGGGAGGAGGTGGGGGTGGGGTATTCAGGACATAAACTGTACATTTACCTTGCAGTGAGTTGAAAATAGAAAAGAGATACATAAAAGCTAAGTTGACTGGACCCCAGGCGAAAAGGGCAAATCCCCAGGTCATCCCCAACAGGAAGGTGAGACTGATGACGCTGCGGAGGTTCCTCAGCACCTACACACAAACACATACATTTGGAACTTAACATGCATTTAGTGGGATACAACCCATCATACTATTATATTTGATTTCAGTATATTTTCACTGTCTGAGGGAGTGCACCATCCCCAACTAGTTCGGTTTGCAGGTTGAAATGGTTAAACTAGTCCAGATTCATTATCAAAATAATAATGAATAGAATAAATGTAATTTATATGAGACAAATAGTATTTTTAAGACACCACTAGGTTTTACACTGATTCCAGAATATATTCTTTGTGAAATAATTAGTCTAACCGATCATTTGCAAATACCCTCCAAGCTGAAAGGAGAGTGTGAATGTTATACGTGCCTCTTCCCGTAGCGTCCGATTACTTCTTTTCCCATTGCGGCCACAGATCTGCAGCATCACCACTATAAACATGGCCACATTCAGGAGAAATATGAGGCAGAAATATCCCACACAGGTGACGTAGAACACCAGCTGGTTCTTGATCCAGCAACTGCACACGAGAAGGACAAAAAGAACATGTAAATGTAGCCCTGTTTTTATGCCCATTTAAATATATGGAGAAAACGCACAACTCAGAGGATCCGTGTCCGCCTCTGCCATATTCCTGAAGCCCGTAGGAGTTCTTGTCGATAGCAGTGACTATTCCCACAATCACTGCTGGGAAACCTGGAAGAACATTTACATATATATTTATACATATATTGAAACATATATATACAGTATATATAATATATATATATATATATATATATATATATATATATCGGACATTCGGACATCTCGGTCAAGAAATGTGCAGTGCTAGGAACAGCAAAGATACTGCGCAGAACCCTCAAGCTCCCAGGCCTCTGGTAGAGGACCCGAGCTTAGAGAGGGATAACCGCCCGCGGAGGGCGAAAGGTGAGATTTTTTTGTATTTTTAATATATATATTTATAACCATATTTTGTTAAAAGGGTTTATTTGAGTTTTAATTATTAATGTCATTTTCAAAAACAAATATTGTAATATATACACTCACCGGCCACTTTATTAGGTACACCTATCCAACTCCACTTTAACGCAAATTCCTAATCAGCCAATCACATGGCAGCAACTCAATGCATTTAGGCATGTAGACGTGGTTGAGACAATCTGCTGCAGTTAAGTGACTTTGAACGTGGCATGGTTTTTGGTGCCAGACGGGCTGGTCTGAGTATTTCAGAAACTTCTGATCTACTGAGAATTCACACACAACCATCTCTAGGGTTTACAGAGAATTGTCCGAAAAAGAGAAAATATCCAGTGAGCGGCAGTGCGCAAAAATGCCTTGTTGATGCCAGAAATCAAAGGTGAATGGCCAGACTGGTTCGAGCTGATAGAAAGGCAACAGTAAATCAAATAACCACTTGTTACAACCACGGTCTGCAAGAGAGCCTCTCAGAACACAAAATCACGTCAAACCTTGAGGCAGATGGGCTACAGCAGCAGAAGACCACACCGGGGGCCACTCCTGTCAGCTAAAAACAGGAAACTGAGGCTACATTTTACACAGGCTCACCGATATTGGACAATAGAAGATTGTAAAGTTGTCGCATCTTCTGATGGCTACTTCCAGAAGGATAAAACACCTTGTCATAAAGCTCAAATCATCAAAGACTGGTTTCTTGAACATGACAATAAGTTCACTGTACTGTAACGGCCTCCACAGTCACCAGATCTCAATCCAATAGAGCAACATTTGGATGTGGTGGAACAGGAGATTGGCATCATGGATGTGCAGCCGACAAATCTTCAGAAACTGCATGTTGCTATCAAATATGGACCAAACTCTCTGATTGTGTCCAGTACCTTGTTGAATCTATGTCATGAAGGATTAAGACCTAATAAAGTGTACCTAATAAAGTGGCTGGTGAGTATATAATAATATGAATTACAAAAAAGGAAAATCCAAGAAATAAAAGTAAAAGGAAGAGATGAAAATTATTTTAACCCACCCCAGTGTCAGGCAACTTTTAACTGAGAAATAACATTAGCTACTTCCTACTTTTCAATACATCAAACACAAATATGCAATTATGGACCAATATTGACGCTTCATGCTATGCATACAGTATGTGTATGGAATTCAATGGCACAATAATGGAAAACAACAAATACCCCATGGTAAGCTCACATCACATATGTTTTAATTAGTTAATTTAAAGTATGTACTTGTCATGTGCACACTGGGGACTAATTGCTAATGTATTCCAATGGCGAATAAATGAATCTGAATCGGAATAGTTGCCAACATGAACACAATTCGTTCTAGCCCCAGACTGCATGTTGTGTTTTTCAGAGGTCTCAAGGCTAGTAAATCTTGTAAATTATTCCAAGATCTTAATGGAGCGAGAAGTTTTCTTTCATATTCATTGATTGTATAAACGAGAAATGTATTCAAAAACATCTTGACATATCAACAGCATGTTTTCAAAAAAATACAAATCTAAATAGATCAAACATTAAATGTACTATTGGGTAAAAACTTTTGTCAGTACAAGAATAATCAGGCCGCCTGGACGCCTCCCTCGGGAGGTGTTCCGTCATACGACACTCCTATGTGAGTAGAAAACAGGGGCATTACGGTGCCTCTTAATTCTTGCATTTGGCACACAAAATAGCCTCGCTTTAGCTGTATTATAGTAATGGTTTAGTTGGTGCACTGACCCCATCCGACGAGGCAGAACTTGAGGATGTATCTGCGGATGTAGGTGTTGAAGACTTTGACCAGAGCAATGTACATGTGGACGGACTCCAGGCCCATCCAGGTGAACGACGTCAACAAAAAGTAGTGAAGGAACACAGCCACAGACACACACAGCCAATCAGATCTCAGACTGGCCAGCCAGCCGTCCAAAAGGAAGGTCAGATTCAGGCAGAGGAGGGACGCGCTCAAGTTCATCAGGATTTTAGAGGGATAGTCACGACGCAGCTTCCTGAAGAAACACAGCTGTGTCACAATAACACCTTTGGAAAGACAATAGATTGCTACACATCTGTAAAACAATCATTCTAACTACATAATGACATTGACAAGTAAGAGTAAAACCTGTAAAACAGACAGTCCTTTTAAAACAATTCTTGAATATAGAACAATATAATGCACTCCACTGCAACAGTGGAAAGTAGAAGTTTACAATAATTATTCCAAAGATGGATTTAAAATAATTTATGTATTAACTATTCTATAATACAGATCATAGTTAAGAGTGGGGTTATGGCTCTTTAGTTTTTGTTCAAGGTTTCATTCATTCAGATCAGCACATTTGGATTTCCTGACCAGCAGTAGTAAAAGTAGAAGTAGTAAATGTGCATTCATTTCAGTAATTCAAAACAGTAGTAATTTAGCAAATATTTGAATCAAATTAATGTACACAAATCCAAAACTTAGATTCACATTGTATTTAAGAAGTCAAATATTAAAGTGAATGTCAGTTACTTTTGAAATGTGTAAGACAAGCACTGGTTAGACTCGGGGCCCCTGTGGCTCACCCCCACAGCTTCCTGATTGGTCAAAATCTATTAAAACATTCGAGGCCCTTCATCATTGGTTTAACTATTCAGCTCCAGCAAATCTTAGGGATCATAGTTCTGCCAAAGGGATAATTTTAAATAAATATATTATTATTGAAAAATACTTACTGTATATAAAATCACAGTATCCAATGGTCAGAAAAATGAAATAAGTCGCTGACTACACCTTTCTTAATAATCATAGAAATACAACAGAATAGTAACTGTGCCATGTCTGTAAATGCCCAATTTAAAAACATCCTTATTAGGTCGGTCTTGAGTATAGTCAATTTCCATGATATGCCAATGGAACAAGGGACAAGCAAAATCTTATTAGGTATGAAAAAATATGAGATTGCCCATGAAATAAAACATTTTTGCTTGCCTTGTCACAAGTTAAGCATTTACTGCCTAATATTTGTTTTTGACACTGTACCTTTAAGAAGCACTGCACAGTTTATTCTATGAAGTCATCCTAATTGCCGGCTACATTCAATAATATTTAGCGTCACTTACTCAAATGCAATGTACGTCAGGAGGGTCACAGCTGAGAACACCGCAGAAACTCCGCACCCAATGTAGGTAATAAAAGTGAGGATCTTGGTGTTCTGTTCATTAATATATGCAGACGAACCATAAATGTCCTGTAGGAAAACAAGTGGAGAACAATAAACAACCGGATGAGAAAGACCAAAACATGTCCAGTGTGAGCTCATGTTTTCTCAAGCCAAGATGTTTCAGATGTGATTAAGTAAAACTCCAAATGAGCTCTTAAAAATAACGATAGCAATCAATTACCCAGAAGAACGAAGCATGAAGTTATTAGGATGTCAGATAAAAGATACTGCCTTATTTCAGTATTGACTGTGACTCACTGGAGCGCAACAGCAGCCCACCCACTTCCATGGTAAACTAATGATACATAACATGAGTAAGATTATTAAGTCAGTAACTAGATACCTTTTATTTAACAGAGCCACAATGCTGATACAATTCAATACGCTGTTTAAAGCTGAGGTACTGGCTCCCCCCAATACAGTAGATCAGCCATTCCCAAACTCAGTAACACCGAGGCCCCCTTAAAAATCTGACGGGTCTGCGTGGCCCCCCAAAATAATAACCAAGAAGACAACATTAAGAATAGGCTCTTCTGGTTATTTTATTTTAGCCTCTGCTACAAACATTGTAATACAAAAATGATTACAGTGGATTATTCAAGTCAAATAATGAACACAAATATTTTAATATTACAAACAAAACATTATAAATTTAACATTAAATAATTATATTATTTTTTAATTTTTTTTATGACCTCCCGCGGCCCCCCTGCAGTACCCTCGCGGCCCACCAGGGGGCCGCGGACCCCACTTTGGGAGACACTGCAGTAGATAACCAAAAGACTTCCAAAAAGTCATATCACTAAAACTATTTTCTGAATGCTAATACTGTTTTAATTTGTTTCCTGAAACATTGAAACAATATTAAAGTCAAAACTAGCTCACTTTCACAAACTTTTGATGAATTACTATCACACATAAGAATAAGTTAAAGTTTAGGAACCTAACATGTTTGTTCCAGAAAAATTATATATTCAGCTTGTGAATAAATCAGACCACAACATACTATCCTAGTAGAAAATACATTTTGAAAACTTGTGAAATGTCGTCTTGTGAGCTTCCTGTTCTGGAGGTTCTTTAGACTAATCCAGACTTTTAAATCAAGCTCTTAAGATAATAAATGACTCTTCTGCCCCCTGGAAAAGCCATGTTCCAGCTTCTTCCCTCTGGCTGAAAATATCATTTGTTGAGATGCAGGACATCTTGTTTTGCTTAGACTTTCTTTCCACAAGCTGTTATCAGTTTAGACAGAGCACATTAATGATCTTGCACTTGTTGTTTCCATTTTTGTTTGTTTTATTTCTGTACTTTTGACCTTGTTTTATTTACTGTATGTACTTGTCTTGTGCACACTGGGGACTTTTGCAAATGTATTCCAATGTGGTTTTTCTGCAAATGGCAATTCAAATGAGTCCTCTCCTTTTTACATTTCTGTCAGTAAAAAGCTGATATAAAGATGTGACCAAGGCCAAAAATACATAGATTTAAAAACTAGTAAGAATCATTTTTTTAAGTAGCCCAGCTCAAAGTAGGGATAACCACATTCTAAGGCTATTTTATAGAAATTGTAATAGCTATTGGGATTCTATCTCTGTGAACAAACACAATGTAGCAATAATCTGATCAGGTGGAACCCATAAAACTAAGCAATTTCTATATCAATCGGAGTGCCTCAGCCTGTTTGCCCCTTATTTGGTACATGGGTAACTTTTATATGCTTTTTATAGTCACTTTAAGTCACTTGCACTAGGACTAAAAAAACTACACTACTATTGCCACTGTTTCTTTAATTGACACGTTTTATTGTACATACATTGCACAGATCTGAGTGATTCTATCCATGCAAAATGTGACATGTACATTTTTCCTGTGTGAGATCAATAAAGTCTATCTTATCTTTTCTTATATATACACAATATAGCATTTCAAACTATAACAAGTGAGAGACATCTTCATTGATATATATTCTCTTTTGATATTTCTGTCATGTCTTTCTTACCATGAGGATGCCAAAGTGAGTGAGGTGGTTGCACAGACACACGGTTTTGTTGCTGGTGGAGTCTGTTGAGACCTGGCAACCCTCTCTGTTCCAGCCTCCGACGCCATCTGGTGGTACAAAAAATTACACAAAATGTAAGCCTAATTATTATGATCCTTTCAAATTGTATAACATCAAAGACAAAACTGAATTACACAGAAACAACAATCTCAGCAGTAAATACACTTCAAATATTTATATACCTTTACGTATACTTTAATATTGTAAAAAAGCCAAAGTTGTGTTGAAATGTTCTCTTTTTAATGTTGTACTTTTAAAGTCTTGCACAATATGACTTCACTTGCCCATTCAAATTCACTAAAGCTGCTATTCCAACACAAATACTGCAATTGATACCATTGTTTATTTATACTCTCTTCACACTGGCCATTGAGGTGAACAGACAGATAACAGCACATATATTATAGTGCTGTAATTATATTGGACAATCTAATGATCCCAAAGAGAGGTAGACTTTATCCCAATGCCACTCAGGGGATAACCGTAATGAGCTGAGATCTGCACACACCCTTCATGGAGAAGTCCCAGAACATACAGACCGGGGGTTTCAGAGGGTCAAACGCCTGCAAGAACAAAAGAAAAATGAACAATATAATTGTATAGACACAACTTTCAAATAGAAGTAGATAACAGAATGACAAATTAACAACCGCAGCCATTAAGAGGTGTAGTGTCAGTACAATTTGTCAAAATATTGAACTAAATGATGACGTTACTATGCTGTACTACATCACACAATAATAGTAGGTCTTAATAGGTTAATGGTACACATGTGGCTAAGCAGAACGGGACCTGGTTAGTACTGTGATGGGAGACCTCTGAAAACACCAGGTGCCAGAGCTGTAAAGTGCCAAAGTGCTATGTCCTTCACCTGTTCAGTGAGATGTGCGATCTCGATCCTGACTGGGTCCAGTAAGTTACTGATGGTGAAGTTTCCCACACTGCTGGCCACCACATAACTGTTCAGAGATAAGCCGTCCTGTACTTTCTAAATAAATAAAAAATATTGATAATGAGATTCATACAGTCCCAAAGAGTTTAGTGGAGATGATGTTTTACCTGAAAGAGGTTGGTGCTGGAGAAGAACATGAAGTTGATCCTGGAGAGCGAAGCACGTTCGGCTTTGGTCAGAGAAACGTTGTGGAGTAAAGAGGCTGGGAGGATCACCTGAGCTAACGGGTTAGCACGCTTCGACACAAAGTCAATCTGAGGACAGCCATGGTCATGAGGTTTAAAACTCAGCACTTATATTAGGCCTGACTACAAAAGGATACTGGGGGAAGTGGTTGAATAATTAAATACCAACATAAAATACTAACATACATTTGGCAAATTTTTTATCATCACCTATATTTGACTCACATAAATCAAATATGGCCAGCTGACATGGTTTAGATACTTCAGACAGAAGACTGAGGCCCTCAAAAGTTACAAAAATCTTTAAAAGCCTTTATTTGACATGGCAAAAAGAGGTTAAAATTAAAATTAAAAATTGTTTTTTTTTTAACCTCTTTTTGCCATGTCAACTATCAACATTGGTCCCTCCACTGAAGAGCACCAAAAGTTTACTTTTTTCCTCATTTAACATCCAAGAAGCACTCCAGCCCCGTGTACTGTTTTCAAAATGGTTTAGATACTATACATATGTTAGTTTTTCCCTTTATGAGTAATTTCTTAATCAGTACTTAAATAAGGGATTTTTTTCTTTTTGCTGGCTTCACGAGTATGTGGAAGGAATTACTTTACAGAATCACAAATTAAAAGTGATCTCTCAGGCTGCTGCAAATCTCTACCCTCAAGTAGGTATTTAAAAAAATGTCTTTGAACATTTGCCATTCAAATTGCTTGTGATGATGCACACTAATTTGTTTATACTTATTGTTGTTAATTGTTACATTTGGATATTTCTGGCTGTAGTTGGCTAAGTGATGGGCACCTGTGGCTGGGATGAGTTGGGGCCCATGAAGGCGCTGAAGCTGGTTCCTTTAAACATGGTGGTGTTCAGAGTAGAGACGCCCAGAGCCAAGTGTGCGGACGAGACACTCACAGAGTCACCTTCAAACTCCATCTTCTGTGCGAGCTTATTCATCGCTTTCAGTGCCCTGGCAAAACAATCAAAAACATGACAATTATTCCAGAGATCTCCCTCATTTGAACCACACAATGCCTGAGGAGAGTGTGCAACATCCTGCGTGAGCTCCACCACCTGCTTACATCTGTTCCACCTGCTGCCCTCAGGCCCGCACATCGAGACTGTATCCTCAGGCTACAAGACTTTTCAACACTATCCCACTCCCCTCTCTGGCTCCGCCACAATAACCACATCTACAACTATAGCTCTGAAATGTACTTTGCATTGCTACATTCATTCTGTCACTATCTCCACGTGTTGCTATGTTGCGCAGATGCCAAGATAGGTTAAACGTTTTGCACTGGTTGATGCTCTAAACTTAAGTTTGTTGCTCTCTGTGACATTGATCAGATGCGTTTTAAGTTCCTATAAAACCATAAAATTTTCCCAACATCATCTGCCAGGTACCAATACCCCTTGAATTATCTCCAGATGAAATCATCTGTATGTAAAGTATATTTTGGTTCATAGAAGATCAACACATACTTCTCGGAGGTGGCTGCCAGGGTGCTCTCAGGCCTCTTCATCACATTGGAGATGATAGTGACCACAGTATGAGCCAGAGAAGTGTTGATTTTAGCCACGTTTACCAGCTCCTTCACTTTGGTCACTACTTGGGATACCTACAATACAATTTAAAACTGTATTTTACATGTTCTTGAATTGTCTTGTATTAGAACACAAAACAAGATAAGAGATAACAGGTTTTGTAAGTTAAGTCCTTCATTACATTCTCACCTCTTCTTGCGATAGCTCATTGTTTGTGATGACGACAAGCTGGTCAGCCACTTCTGCTGCATTTTCTGCACAATGACATTTAACGGTAGAATCAATAATGCTAAGGTTATATTATATACAGAGAAAATAAATATATGTTGTGTTTTCAGTTGATAATCTGATGGTTTTACCTGCAGAAACCTGGATGTTGTTGATGATTGTACAGTTACTTGTATCTGCAGTGGACCAGTGAGACGTGAAGTTCTGTGGACTGATCAAACTGAACCACAAAGACAAAATAAAACAGTGCCAAGAGTTAAATAATAACATTAAAAGAGAAAGTAAAAAGCATATTTAATTGTAATTATTGTACTGTACAAAAAACGTACAGCTCTGATTGCCATCCCCCGACCCAGAAATGGACAAATAAATAAACTCAGCTGGCCTGGGAATGCCTCGGGATTCCCGGATGAGCTGGAGGAAGTGTGCGTGGATAAGTCTGCTGCCCCCGAGGCATGGCAACAGATAAAGTGGAAGAAAATGGATAGATGGATCATCAGAGGCCAAAACTACAGGCTCTCAACTCTCATATTCAGACTGATACACTTTGAAATATCACTGAATGTTGGAGGCATTTTAGAGGTTGTGTTTGTATAAAGACACAATGTCTTTATTGGCGATGCCACAGTGGGGCGGCCGCGGCTGAAAAGTGCCAAACTGCTGTTGTGTCCTTAGGCAAAACACTTCACCCCCATTGCCTAGAATGAGTCTGGTGTGTGTGTGAATGGTTGGTGGTGGTCGGAGGGGCCGATGGCACTTAGCTGCTTCCGGGGCAGCTGTGGCTACAGTGTAGTTTATCACCACTGTGTATGGAGTGAATGAATTATGACATGTGATGCGTCTTTGAGTGTCCAAAAAAGCGTTATATAAAACTGATGCATTATTATTATTATTATTATAGATGAAGACATTTAGTTTCCTTCCATTCCTGACTTGACAGGGTCCCGAAAAAAAAGGATGAATACAGCTGTTTATATACAGTTATTATTTCTGTGAATACCAGGTCCTGGAGGCACTGCTGTCTTTGTTGGGGAAGCAGGGCAGAGTGTGGCCGACTGTGGGGCGTGATTCAGGCCAGCGGTAGTGCACTGATGCCTCCTCTGGGCAGTTTTCTGAAAAGCACAAATACATACAGTATAAAGTAGTTAGAGGGGCTGATGGCACACATGTACTCTGCTGTACAGTTTCACTTTCCCATGCCTTGTATACATACACATTTGTTGTATGTATACAACAAGCCACTCTTTGGCAATTATATATGGATTTGAATTGTTTAAAAAAAATCTATTTAAATCAAAATAGATAAAGGGAAATAGATTACATTTGTTTGATAGAACCAGTCTGTGGTTGGGACATGAAAGACAAGAATGGCAGAATTAAAAATGTTATCTATTTATTTTACAGTGCTGGGCACAGCTGCTTGCATTCATGGGGATTTTAATGAGCCTTTCCACAGTTCTGACACCTAAATTAGCCTTGAGACACCTGCTTGACATTTTTAATGGCATACTGGAAAACATCATAGGGAATCACTAATATAACAGTGGAGAAGAAGGCATTCAAATGTGACAGAGACCTTTCACAAAACAACATATAAATGCAGACACTGTATACATATTTTTTCCTGGTTAATGAGTGAATGGTAATCACCTATGAGTGTTAAACTAGTGGATCCGGTCTGAATGCGGAGCCCTGTCCCGAGCTGAGCCTCATTGCTGGAAAGACGAGTTTTTGCTGCTTCTCCCAGACTCTCGTTAGTGGTGAAGTAGTGAACCAGCAATGCCTGGCACTGGTAACTGCACATGAACACAAAGGAAAATACTCTCAATAAACTCTTGCATATATAGATAAAATATATAATGTATAATATATCTGTGTTACCTCATGACACCATTGTTTGGTAAACCAGACTGCACACTGTGAGACAAAACCATTATTTACCGCAACATAAGATTAACATATGAGAAAATATAGTCATCACAGATAAAGATATTACCTGATGAAATCCACATAGACAGACTGGGTCCAGTTTTGAAACGTCTGATTCAACTGAAAAATATTAAATAAAGTATTGAGAAAACATGGTTCAATTCAAAATGCATCAAACACTGAAATAGTTTTGTGTTTGGATCCCTGCTCTGACCCAGTTCTGAGAGCCCTGAGAGTTAAAATAATTACCCATATGACCACAGCCTCCTCGACGTCGGCCTGGGACATGGTGAGAGTGCTGTCCTCCACCACAAAGGCCACTCGGTAAAACAACGTATCTGTGAACCACAATGTGACCAGAGTGAATAGTGTGGATGTGACAAGACTGAAGAATGTGTGCGTGTGACACAGAGCAGGAGCTGAGAACATAAAACCACATGAATAAATATGTTTATTAGTGATCTGGATTCAAAGACATTCCACTGTCAGCATGATTACATGTAGCTACTCTTTTTTTTACACCTTAAGTGATCCTATTGATACTGAATTTAAATTTGAGATCGAAAACGTTTTATCTTATCCTATCCTCACACAATTCATGTCCTTCATGTTCTCTCTTTTAGCTCCTGCAATGTGCCACTGTGCTCACTAGATGTCACTACAGACAAACAAACACTGATCCATCTACTTCGGTTGAAAATTGCCACTACAGAATGTACAATCATTGAAGAAATAAAGGGATTTCTACCAAAAGGTCAGATGAACAGAGATAAAAAGCTGAACAAAGCATTAAAATACAAGCTATTGCGGAAAAAATACAAGTTTAGACTGAAGAACTACAAAGTCATTGAGCAAAAAAAAGTTATTGGGATGTGGAAAAAGGGAAAATATGATTTGCTATTAGACCAAAACCATAAATCATCACTTGCATATTTACATACATAACTTACATAGCAACAGGGATAAAACTGGAGACTAATTACCCATACTCCTAAAGAAAATCAACAACTGTGTATTCAGTCTTAAAGCCATAGTCTTAATTTGGTGTTTTAGTTGTGAACATGGCGATAACATTCATTACAGCTGGGGAACCTGACTTTGAAACCACATAAGAAATAACTATGTACTAGGGGTGACAGTGGCTCAGCTGGTTGTGCATTGGCCTTTAAGCCTGAAGATTGTGGGTTCAAGCCCACCACGAGACCTATTTCATGGCTCCCACTGATATCTGCTATCATTGTGTCCTCGGGCAAGACACTTAACCCCACTTTACCTGAAGCCCCAGCTGAAAGATATAGACTCCTGTGGACACTACCTGCTGGAGGATCAGTGAGGGGCTGGTGGTAAGTGAATTGGGTGCTCTGACTGCCAACCCCCAACCCAGAAATGGATTAAGGGGAAGAAAATGGATGGAAATATAGTTCCAGCCTCACATTAACTGAATTTCATAGAAAAAGTTGTTTTGTTTGATCTGTTTTTTTTTTTCTGGTAATTACAGTTAATAATGCCTATCTCTATCGTGAAGTTCCCAGTAAGATCTGTGATGAGTCTACTGCATAGGAGAATACTTGTTGCGTAAATCAAAATATTTATGTGAAAAAATCAGCTCTAGAGTGGCATATCAATATATCAGATGGTTTTATAAAGACGTCAAAACTGAATACACAACATAATACTACTTTGATTCGTTCTACAAGTTGAGCTTCTACTTCTACTTTGGGGTTACTTCATCACATACTGTTTCCCGATGTCAGTCCACACACACAGGTAAAATGACGGCTACATTGGCAAGGCATATTCGACGTCTTTGTAACTTTAGAAGGACTAGAAGTGGCCATTTTGATTCCACCACTGCTTATTGTTACATGGGTAGACGGTGGATGTTTCGTAGTAGAAACACGTCGAGATATTGCCCCAGCCCTCTCTTCACTGCTGCCTGGGTCTTCTGAACTTGCTGTTTTGTCAAATCTTGAAACTGCCTTAGAAATATCACCAACATTTGTAGGCAAATCTGGGTCTCTTTTGCCTTCTTTCAACATCCCAACAAATTCATATTTTTCCTGGGTTTCATTGTGTTCCGAAATAGCAGTGGTCCTGTTTGGTTCAGGCTTGTCTGTATGGCTGGATGAGGGGCCGAGCCTCTGCTCCTGATCTGGGTCATTGATATTGGAATCAGCATGCGGTGCGGACGTTGTACTAAACGGGGGCCCATTTAGGCCATAAACTAGCGGGAGGTCATGGTGAATCGTACTTAATTTAGCAAATGTCGGCCTCTGAGAAAAAGTAGTAGTCTTTTCAGTATTCAAAACATGGTCCATTGGCCGTTTTTCTGTCTCCTTATGACTTTCACTTTCCTCTACAGAAGATTCTTCCTCTGAACTTTCCAACATGTGGATTTTTGGCGCAATGTGGGCTATGTCAAAAAAAGCAGACATTTGCTTCTTTGTTGTAATAATAGGTGATACAGTCGGAAGCAGCCTTGGCGTATTTGCTCCTTCAAAGTTGCTTAGAAATGCATTTCTATTCTCACCTGAATCTGTGTGACTTGAAGTGGATTCGTCTTTTTCCGTTCTGTCGTCATGCACTCTAAAAGCTTGCTCGTCAAATTTAGCATGGCTACTTGTCAAATTTTGCTCCCTCAAATGCTTAGTATAATTGTGGTTTGGCAAAGTCGGGTAGGGCTGGATTACGGCTAATGTGGGTTGGAGGAATGCAGAAGATTTTATAGTGGGTGACATGAACAAGCTAGACATACTTGAACTAGATTGTATCGTAAGCACAGCCCGAGCATAGGAAACAGCCATTGGTGCTTTGGGAGAAGTGGGAAAAGAAAGAGCAATGGAATCAATAGATGAAGGGTCAGGTCTAGAATGGTCATTTGTTGGTGTTAAAATGTGGCTTGGAACAGGAACATTTGGCGTTAGCACGTCAATTGAATTCAAATCAGCTAAAGCTTCAGGATGCGATATTAAGATATGTCCATACATCCCTATAATATTTTGAGAAGATGTGGAGCTGAAATGGGTGGAACCATATTGTGTCTGATCATTTTGGAAAGTCAAACTACCGTGTATATTGGTAAAGAGGTTGGAAGTAACTATAGGGCTGGTTGGAAAAACTTGTGTTAAACCTCCATTTTCAGACTTTCCTGGCTGTGAAGCTGCCTGCTCTGTCAATGCAGTGTGTGAAGGAGTGAGTGACAAGCCATCAAAATGTGGTAAAAGGGAATTTGTAGATGCAGACACTATGTTGGACGAAGCAGAGCGAGAAGACAGAGGAACAAAGTTTAAAGGGCTTTTTCTATCAATATCCAAGTGCTCGCTCGAGTCCCAGTTTCTTGGCAGAGGAGTCGTAGCCAGCTTATGGTCAAAATAATGTGCTATCTCATCTGACGGATGATATGCGCTGCTTGAATGCCTCGCAGTAGGATCATGCAAGACTGACAAAGATTCTAGGGAAGGTTGTAAATTATTTAGTAAAGGAGATTGTGGTGTAGAAGTTGACAGGAAAATTGGACTTTGTGAAAGATGAGGTGTGATATGGTCAGGAAAAACCGTGTCTTGCTTGACATCTGATCCTGAATGAGAAACAAATGTTTGCGAACCGTCGTCATCTGACGAAGCCAACTTCTGAATTGTGCTGGTTACTGCCAATTCAGCTTGTATGGCTGGTGTATGCGTGCTTTGAAGCTTAGACAGCAAATGCATAGATGGCAACAAAGGCATGTTAGAGGGCAAGTTATCTCTATCTGATAAGGCAATGCGCACAAAATCAATATCGGAGGGCTGAGTTTTAACAAGCGATTGGGAAAGCGGGGACGGGCTGATAAGTGCCGGGGTGATGGAGGATGCAAGCAGAGGAAGCGAGGGAAGATATTGTGTTGTATTGGCATGAGCAAGAAAAGGCAATAGCAATGCATGAATAGGCTGAAGTGGTTTTGAGGGAGTGTGCATTGATGGATTTGCTACTTTGGGGCGTGGGGCTAATACTTCAGAAGCTGCTTGTGTGGTGGTAAGGGTTTCTGAATAAATTCTGGGATTATTGTGCATTGAAGATGGAATGATTCTAGGAACTTGGGAGCTGCCTGTACCAGTGGAAGTACTTTTTACTGGAAATGTTAGCGTAGGGTTTATCAAAGAGGCTACATCTTCAGTGTTTCCTCTTATTCTCATTGCGTCCATACTCGCATTTTCATTTATCACAATTGCCTCAACAGGAATAGGTGGGGACTGAATGCTGGGGGGTTGTTCCAATAAATAGTCAAAATCATACAAGCTAAAAAAATCTCTCAAATCTCCAAAATGTCCCATATCATACAGATACGGTTCACTGCCTGATGTATGTTCAATTACTGGTGGCTCTATGGGGTCAGTCCAGTTTCCAGTAGCTGTTGTATGGTTAATTTGACTAAGTATGCTGACGGGTGACCATCTTTGTTTGTTCTTTCTATTACTGTGAGATGAAGAGGATGATAATAATGACAAAAGTAAAACAGGAGCGGTTTCCTCTTTTTGTGGTTTTGGAGTTGTCAAAGCTTCCGTACTTATTTCCAATGTTCTACCTTTGCTGCCCGTAACATTGTAAAGTGTACTTTTGGAATTTTGGGTAGTAACTTTAGAGGATGTTAACAACGTTTTTCTAACTGTTGAAATTTTCATATTTGTTGTATGGCTGGGCACCTTGGTATTTTCCGGCGCTTTAGAGGCATACTCTTCAAAATTGTTTACATTGGGGGTAGAAGGCAAAGGAAATGTAGTTTTTACCCAATCCAGTCTAGGTTTATGTGTTGGCGTATGAAAAATCCCAATAGATATTAAAGGAGGTTTGGGACTCGTCGCATTTCGGTTTTGGTCCTTACTTTTAGTTGTTTTTGGAGAACCCCTATCCATTAGCTTTCCTGAAGCTGTAGAAGAATTTCCAATTGCCAGATGGTGCGGCGGCTGCTTTGTAAATTGGCTATTGGGAGCTCTAGTGGTAAGTCTTCTCAGTATAGTTGTAAACCTTCCTGTGTAGTATTTGGGCTTAGGGGTTGTTGTGAATTCACCCGGAGCTTTTGAGACGTGAACTGTTATTGGTCTTGGTGACGTTCTGAATATCGGCCGTCTTGAACCAGTTTGACGTTTTCTTCCTTGCGATATTAGTGGAGTTGAGATGAAACCGAGCAAGGTTTTAGAGCTCCGCTGCCTCTGAGGCCTGGGAGCTCGAAGTGTTGTCCCGATTGGAGGCTTCACAGTTGGGGGTAAAAATCTGAAATTATGGGGGTGGCTTGTAAGGCTTCGTGCTGATCTTCTTGGAAAAGATCTTGCCATTGGATTTGTTGGTTTTACATCAAACATATTCTCGACATGTAAATTGGAGGTTTGAATCTTTGATTTCAGCTCCGAAGTAATTTTTGCATATCTTTGTAATGATGTTGCTGAGGTTTTCTTGACTGCCGTCAAAATGAAGAAAGAAAATGTTCAGTGCAGTTGGATAAAGTCATAAATAAGCGACAACTTTGAATTTTGCACAGTAAAATATTTTCTAAACGTTTTCTTATAGGGATGCACGATATATCGGTATAAATATCGATATCTGCTGATGTTCATAATTTTTTAACCTATCGGCATCAGACCAATTAATAAAATTGAGCTAATAACCACAACCAATGTGTACTCATCTAGTTGCTCGGAGGGGGAGGGGGGATTTGGCCGTGTGTATTGCTGACGTCACGCAGCGGCGCAAATGTCACCCAAAGTTTTAAGGTAGCCCTGTAACCTTGGTATTTTAAAATAAAATACATTCTGAAAATAGAGGAAGAAATTCAGTATGTACAAACTTTTATCATCTCAGAATTCAAAAAAATAAAAACATCGGTCAACAGCCATAACAAAAGAAAAATTCATACCAGATATCGAAATCGGCCAAAATTTTCATATCGGTGCATCCCTATTTTCTTATTCTAAACAGTAATTGCTATTTATAGTCATTGCTCAATAGTATATGCTAACTTACTTTCTTACAATGATTTTTTATACTGGTTTGAAACAAAGAGATCGAGTTGAAGTGTTGAAGTCTACTGATTTGATGAATAAAACAAAAATAAACAAACACAACATCTATTAAATCCAAATGAAGAAGAAATCAAATACCATGCAAACCACTTCACTATGAAAAAAGAAAATCTACTCCCGATTGAATTGATGCTGCAGTGCCTTACCCCAAAGGGGAGCAGAAGAAGCAGCTAAGTTAGTTGCTGGTGGGTTAGTAAGGGTTGTTCCTGGAAAAACAGTGAAAATATAATCATAAGTATGCTATAAAGCGGATATGAGAGTTGGGATAGAAGAAAATGCTAAAAAGATTTCTGTCATTCAACGTTATTTTGGAGTCCAATGAAAGCAAAAAAAAGTCACCCAGTAGATGGTAAAATATTTTCAAGATCTGCTTCTCTTTCAAATTGCAAAATAAAATATGCATTGATTCACAGCAGGGCAAATGCAACATGACTTCAGCTCATTCTTACCATGCGTGGCTGAGTTAGTAGGTGGATGGTTAGTGACTGTTGCCCATGAGGTGCTGGAGGATAGTGGCACTAAAAAGGATAAACAGCAATAATGATGGAGTTAGAGCTAAAGCTAGAGCTATAAAAAAAACCGCAACATATGTTCTACTGATATTAGCTTTGGATGTTTCTTTACACATTAGGTGCGGATAAGCAGTTAACACTGTGATCCTGGTATTTACGTCCTGTTATATTTTGATAAGAAATGTTAATAACAGTGAAGTTTTGAAAAATATTTAAACTACAATCAATTTAACATAATGTCAATTCATGCTATTGTAAATTGTTTCTTCAGGGTCAGGCTACAGATTTAGAATATCTGAAGGTAGTAGCTATTCATATTCATAAAGTACGTTCCATTCAAGGCCTCTCGTGACAAGGAGGGAATAACAAATGAGCCAATACGTTTGAATCAAGAAATATGTGGATGTTGCCATTGTTTTTTGTTGACTGTGATGCATTGCGTGGTCTATTTACAGTGCAATGTTCTATAAAATAACTCCTACAAGAACACAACATGCAGAGTTATCTCTTACCATTTGGAGTGCTGTTGACGGCAGTGGCATTAGTAGGTGAAGCAGCAGCATTGGTGGCTATGGTGTTAGCGTTAACCACAGCACTGGTGGAAACATTGATGCTAACAGTCTTAGCATGGCTGCTAGCAGTAGTGCTAGGGTGTATGCTAGCAGTGACATGAGCACCTGGGATAAGAGAGATGGAAGCAGGCAGGTGGGTGGTGGTCATAGTGGTTGGCAAAGCTGGTTAGCAAAAAAAGTTAGCAATGAAAAAAGTACAAAAAAAAAAAAGCACATTGTTAAAAAGTATAATATGCAATAATTATGTATTTTGTTGTTGCAAATAAATTGTGTCAGCATTATTTTCCAGAAAATATGATTATGAATGGTTTTATTTAAATTAATTATAGACACTTTGGGCATGTAGAGAAATTGAACTTGGAAGAGGGTGGAGTTTCAGGGGGCCCTGAAGTAAGATCCACCTTTCTATGAGGCATATACATAGTTCCCACAGACCAATGAATGTCACATGACCTCCTCGGAGACGCCATCTTTGATGGCACGCTGCTGTGTTTGTGCATTCCATTAAACAGAAGAATGAGAATAAATGTAGATATTCAAACGCAAATTGGAAAAAAAGGGCAACTTTTGAGCAAATAATTGTATATTAATACAATGGCACCACAGTTTAACGTGCTACGGACATGTTTTACATATTTGATCAAATTATGCAGCAAAAATTAACAAGCAATGCAAACATTTCTCAAAAACTTTAGATTTAATACCAGTTGGAGCTCCATTTAATTATTTTAATTATATTAACAATTATGGGCGACAGTAGCTCAGTTGGTAGAGCATTGGCCTTAAGGCCAGAAGGTTGTGGGTTCAATTCCCACCTCTGCACCTTCTCCATCGACTCCCACTGATGACTGCTGTCGTTGTGTCCTTGGGCAAGACACTTAACCCCACTTTGCCCAAAGCCCCCACTGAAAGATCAAGGCTATGCTCACACTCAGAGAGCAGCCGTCCTCCTGTGGACTCACCACCTGCAGAGGGTCAGTGAGGGGCTGGTGCTATGAGACTTGGGTGGCATCTCTGACTGCCACCCCCCTGACCCAGAAATGGATTAAAGGGCAGAAAATGGATGGATGGATGGATGGATGGATGGATATTAACAATTAATTTAACGGACACTCTGGATTGCTGTTATTGTTTATTTCCGCGTTTTTGACCGTATGTTTTGGTGAATGGTGGGCAACTGATTTTTCCAGGCGTAAAGAGCAGTTTATTTTATGACACAGATCTTTTTACAGAAGCAATGCGGTTTGTGAACATTGTTTTAGCCCACCATAGAACTATTATTATCTATTTAATACATTTACGTTGCCCTCGAGAGCCTCGGACGCGACACCGATCCTCCTCATAATAAAGTAATCTAACGCTAAATAATGAAACTCTCAAGTTACCAGCTATCAGCATACACAAGTTAGTACTGAGTAAATTACGTCTGTCAACACATTATAAGATACGATACGCACCTGACACAAAGTGCTCCGAGCATATTCTTGCGTGTTTTGAGGGAGTTTCTTGCCTGTTTATCTTCGCAAGCCATAACCTCCGTGGTTGTTCTGACAAAAGCTTAGTCTTCTCACATTCATGAAGTCTAATGATGGGTATACTGTAAAATCCAAGTTTAACGGAACCTCCGGCACGATTTGAACATCCATTGACCCAGCAGGAGATGACCATTTTCAACTTTATCACGACATTAACACGTTTCAGCTTCTTTTTCTATTGTTTTGCCCACAGAATGCCAACACAAATGGCGCCGGGTCGGCAAATCCCCGTATGTAGTGACGTCATGTGGGAACTATGTATACTGTAGGTGCGGAAAAGTTAACTAAGTCAGATGAAGAGTTTTTAAAATAAATATTACAGTGCTAGTAATAGGGCATTTAGTACAAAAAAAGAACAATCATCATCATTTTGTTATTTTAGTATAATATTTAAAAAATGTTTTCTGCAGAATGGGAGGCTTACCACCAGCAGAAGAGAAGGTTGTGTAGCTGGAGCCTGCGGCTGTTGTTAGGGGCTGGTTAATGGGTGAAGTGAGTGGAGCAGAGCTGGGGGTGGCAGATGGAGGGGTGGGAGGTGATAAAGCTGCAGCGTCAAGCAAACATGAAAATAAACAAAGTTTCAAGAGCCATGCCAAAACAAAATAATCCTTTTTTTTCCCCATCCGGCAATTATCACTGTGCTGATATTGCTGTTGGACTAATATGAATAATATGAAAGATAACATACTTTGAAGGCACAAAGAAAATAGCTATTAAATAAAATCCATCCAAGTGTCTCGCTTTCAAACCAGTTTGGTTCAATCACTGTCATAGCATTGTCATGTATTTCTGGCCTTTGTCACATCTTGAGGCAATCTAAGCTCAACGTCTCAAATTATGACTCACAGGGCTCAATCGTAAAAGTAAGCAAAAAAACATTTCTAATACATGAGGTTGGAATGTTGTGTTCTTAGAAGTTACTTAGAATACTGTTTTTAATGGATCAAACCACATGCTTTTGTTTGGCAACCCCTTCAATGATCCATTAAACCGCTACAACATGATTTTCTATGTATTGCTTATAACATCCATTCTGTGAACAAAAAGATATTTTTTGGGAAGTAATCTTTCATTGTCTATTGGAGATTAATGTACATTTCTGGACCGAGATATTCGAGGTTGTTCCAGGGATCTGCTGTAACCACTCCTCCAGGTTCGGGGTCACTGCCCCGATTGCACCGATCACCACAGGCACTACTGTCACTTTTACCTTCCAGGCCCTCTCCAACTCCTCTCAGAGCCCTTGGTATTTCTTAAGCTTTTCATGCTCTTTTTTCCTTCACTTGGAATTGTCACATCCACCAACACAACTTTCCCCTGTCTACATATATAGATAGAGTCTAAATGTAATTACTAATCTAAATGTAATTAGATTAGTACATGTATTAATGATGTTGACCTAGGCTTGTAGCTAATACAAGCTGTAGAAAAAAAAAATAGTATTCATCTGCACTATTCCACAGCATGATGTATTGAAAAGAACCATGTTAATTAGGTACAGATTTACGTAACAGGCATCTTGGGTTTGGTGAAAATGAATTACCTGGAATAAGTAATTAACATCATTTCTATGAAGAGCTTTATCTGGGTTTAAAACGTCCATTTGCACCAGCTTGAGACGCATTAGTATGTACAGTAAAACCTTCGGTATAAATTGCACAAAACGGCAGATCAATGGAGACAATAAGGCCATTGGGGTTCTGTTCTCTCACCAGTGTAGTATATACAGCAGTAATAAATGTTACCATTTATTTTGATTTGATTCATGAATTCCACTTATTACTTAGTATCATTATTTTCCTCCAGATTTTCAGATGACTGACACTAAGAGTTTATTATTCATAGTTAATAAAGACACTATTGCTGTCTCCAGCTGTACTTACTGGATGACATGTCATGCACTGTTCGAGTTGACATTTTGAGTTATTGTTGCAAAAAAAGTTTAAAAACTAATTTAAACTTCAACTTCGCTGGATACAGATAAGTTGAGCAGTGGAACAGAACTTTGGACCATTGCCTTCATTTAACTGGGGGCTAAGGCTGGTTGGAGAAAAATGATTTGTGGTCCTGGTACGTATTAAGTAAAAATGGGAATCATAACTGGGAAGAAATATTCATGTTGTTTTTGGAGCACTGCAGCGAGTTGTAGTGCCAGTCTATTTAAACAAGAGAGCTCATAATGTGGAAAGAAACCCAGCGGCCAGAGCAGAGCTGGAAGCGTGTGGAGCTGCATTAGGACGGGAGTGTGAAATGACTTAAACTTTTACGAAGGAACAGAAACACAATACACTGAAGGTTGCCTATTGAGTCTGTGAAATACTAAATTTAGGAAGATTCAACCTTCACCCTGTTAGAAAAGCCAAGAAACCAAGTAATACAATGTCTAGGCAATGTATATTTGCTTGAAATGTCTCTTTCAGGCAAATACAGACAGTATTATAGTTTTTTTATTCCTTCAATCGCATAGATCCCCAACATCTATAAAGCACTTTGAGGTTTCAACGGGTTTTATTAATCCCCGTAGTGCAATTCATCCTCTGCATTTGACCCAATCTGATGCCACTAAGGCTTACGTCAGGAGCAGTGGTCGCCGTAGTAACAGCGCCTGGGAACCTATCTCCAGGTGTTGATGCTCGGCTTCGTCAGGATTACTGGAGATGGAGAATTTTATCTAGTGTGCATGGTTTTAAAGACCTTATGACGGGTTTGATTTATTTAGAAATACAGTTTTAATACCATTTTATATTAGAAGAGAACTACTAAAGGTTTCAAAATCAGTTGTTGTTTTTTTTGTCTGATCCCCCCAAATCGAAATAACCCCATAGCAACGCCCTTAGAAACGAAAAAACTTCACAGCCCTTGGTGACGGTTTTTCGCGGATATTCAAGATGACAAGGCCGTGTACAGCGAGTGTGAGATAGCTACTAGAATGTTACATTTCGTTGTCACTGAGATAGTCCAGTGGTAGTATCGATGGACTGCCAATCCAGATTCTTGGGTTCAAATCCCACCTCGGACACCTTTTCACACTCAAAACGGCAATTTATGTGTAGTGAGCAATTGTCACCTGTAGAGTGCAGTATTGTGTTGGGCATCAGTGGAGAGAAGAGAGAAAAGGCAGTCCTGTGGCATAGATCCATGGTTTTCAATGCATGGGCTAACCCGCTATGACGTCACACACAGGTTAGAGCATAGACAACTTAAATTCATGAAAAACACGTTCTTTTTATAAAATATAGGATATTTTTTGCCGGAATCTCTTTCAAATTGACATTGTCATGCAATTTTGATATCCACTATTTTTTTTTAAAAACCCGTCATAAGGTCTTTAATGGTAGGGGAAACCTACGCAGCCACAGGGAGAACATGCAAGATGTCTAAAATATTTACTCATAATGTAGTTAATGTAGAACAGTTTTACAACATTGATCAGGTTGTTCCCTTTGTAGCCTGTTTCAAATGCCTCACACAGATGTCAACATGACAGAGGAGACTACTTTGTGAATCTCTACAAAGGAAGAACCCTGGGAATTGACATACACCCATTATTTCTTTGGGAAACATTTATGGGAATTTTACCACTAGAAAAGCCAGGTTGAGCTCCACTGTAGTGCAGATGTAAAAAAAAAAAAAGTTGGGAAATGTATGTATATTTAAAAGCAACATTTGTAGGAATTTAAATTGCTAATATCTTGGCAGAGTACAATGCTGCTGCTGCAACAAAACCAGACATTCAATCCTAAATAAAAGCATTAGAAGGGGTGAAGCAGTTTGGCGTTGGGGGGTGGCTTCTTACCGTGGCTGGTGCTGGCGTTAGTATCAGGGATGGAGTTAGAGGCAGTGGAAGAGGCTGTGACAGACAGGATCAGAGCATACACAAGCAGAGTGAGCCAGAGGGGAGTGCTGCACTGTATGGACACATGAGTAAAGCACTGCATAACAGCGTCTCACTCTCTCAGCTGCTTCAGCATTCTCCGACATCACAACCGATCAACTTACAAGCGTGACAGCGAGAACCGAACCAACGTGGGCTTAAGTGTTTTGTCTGTAAATGATTCAAACTAGATCCAAGTGTTTATTGTGTCCATTTGTTCTGTCTTGTTGGTCTAGGTGACATCACTGAAGTCATTTTTTTCTCTAAATCAAAAAGGACAGTGGTGATGATCCAAGACACTCAACATTCAACAACATTTATGGATATCGGTCATCTGCCTTTATGGAACAATGACTCTATGTTTCTCACCCATCATCTGTACTTCTTAGCAGGTTTTCCCAACGTTTTGTCCTTAATCAAAATAACTTTTTCAAGGGAATGAAAGATCAGACTGCGAGTTGGAGATTTAGTCAAACCTTCCTTTGCTTTGACTAATCCCTGTACGACTGAGAGCTTACACAAACTTATTGAGTCTATGTGGTTTTGTTCTCATTGCATTTCTTGTGTTTGACCTGTTTGATTGGTTGCTCTGATCTGTGTTGGCGAATTCATCGGTTTAGTTAAGTCCTCCGAGATAACTACTGTTGTGAATTAGGGCCATACACAAAAAAATGAAATTGTTGAGTATAAACTTTTTTAAATGTAAATGGTCACTTTATTGTCCCCGTAGGGAAATTTGTCCTCTGCATTTGACCCATCCTGATGCCACTAAGGCTTACGTCAGGAGCAGTGGTCGCTGCAGTACAGCGCCCGGGGACCCATCTCCAGGTGTTAATGCCCGGCTTGGTCAGGACTAAGCCGACCAAGTAACTTTTGTGACTTAGTAACGAATTAGAATTGAAAATGTGTGAAAGTCCCCGCCATTTTAACTGTTCCTTCGACATACAATTGAACCCATTCTTACATTTCAGGAAATAAAAATAAGTATTAAGAACTTCACAAAGCCCCTACAAGCCCAGGAGTGCTAACCAACAAACGCCTTAAGATACTACATGCATTTGAGCCCATAATTCCAAAATTCCTGAAATACTGTTTGAGATGTCTATTTGCATGCACCCTAGAGATCTGACCTCTGCTACTGCTCAATTATTTAATGAAAAAAAAATATATATATATCCCAGGGGCATAATTGAACAGCAGTGACCTTTCAGAATAAAAGTCCCTTGGTATATAGAGAGTGTGAGAACTGACATTCAAACTACTGTTCTGTTGAACCCAAAGCTACTGTCCACAACCAGCTGTGGCTTCCTGTTTTAGTCTGATATCTGATAGTGTGTTTACTCAAAATGTGTGTTTCTAACGGATAAGAGGAGAGAGGGGAATATGGAGCTGAACGTGCTCATGGCCCTATGCAGATTGAACAAACCTCACTCTTGTTTCTATAGATTAGCTTATAGAAACTCCAATGCAAAGAGAGATTGGAGTGAATTCATGGTTTGATGATTCTGCTTATTTGGAAAAAGTATATATATTTTTTGGCCGTCACCTCCTATTCAGAAAAACCTAGTAATAGTAATAGTCGTCATAATAATTAGTTGGTGACAATTAGACTGTGAGCTTCCTGTTCTGAAGGTTCTTTATGGATCCAGACTCTTAAACCAAGCTTTTAAGATAATCAATGACTCTTCTGGCCAACCTGGAAAAGCCCTTTAATGATCTTGCACTTGTATTGAAACTGTTTTAGTGTCATTTATTTCCTGCACTTTTCTAGTTTGTTTTATGTATGTTCTTGTCTTGTGCACACTGGGGACTTTTGCAAATATATTCCAATGTGGTTTTACTGCAAATTGCAAATAAATGAATCTGAATCTAATGATGGCATAGCCCATATCCTTTTACTGTACGTACTGCACTTGTAGATACTGCTTTTTAAATATAAATATGTAATTAAACAAAATGATTTGTTTTGTGTTTACATTTTATTTAAAGAGGACACGAAGACACTTTAAATTCAGGGAGTCGCTCATTTAGTGGCCTAATAGTAGTATAGTATACAATTATGTAAATCTGCTACATGCATACTTTATATTGCGTATACATTGGAGCTGATTGGTATTGTAAAACCCTGCGTACGGCTCTATGCTCATCACCAATCAACAGCACCACCTTAAAACTGGGAATATCGCTTTTCTTATCATTTGGATCCTGACTTCAGATTCCGTCACTGCCAAGGTTTAGACCTCGGGGGGAATTCACTTTCATAATCTCTATTCAATATTCTCCAGCAAAGTCATGCCTGTGTTTAAAGTCTGATTTTCTTTGCATCTCAAGTTTTAGAAATGTGAAATAATTGATTTTGTATAGAAAATATTTAAATAAACTCCCTTTTTTATCTCCCTTCTATTATTTACATTATTTTCTCAGGTGTAGCCTTCTTCTTCCTGTTTCAAACTTTTTCCAGACATATTTTCCCATTCAAAAGATAGAATACATTGTTTAAAGTCCTTATTAATGAATGCAACCGTCCTCATTTCTCATTGTTCTGAAATACTATGAATTTCATCACATTCATAATATTCATTGCTTTTGCCCATTTGAAATGATAATGAGAATATTTACAACTTCATATTAATTTATGTCTGAGTCTTTCCCTATTGAACAAGTACAATGCATTTTTATTGTATTTTGTGTCCGCATATTCTTGAGAAGATTTACTTTGCAGTTCAAGTTTTAAAAAGATATTTCACATATTTAAACAGACACATAAACACACTGGAAAAAGAAAGCCCCACAGAAGAAATTACTTTTGTGATAGATTTAGGTTTAGCTACCATGGCAGTGTCTAATCGAATTGAATTGTTATTTTGTTTAATACGGCAGAAAACATTACGTCATGAGTTTGGGGACAAGGAGCATTTCAACAGATGGGCATAAGAAAGTGTTTGTGCTAGACGCTCTATATTTGTGTGGATGGATATAAAAACAGCTTCATGTCAACACATTCCAAACTTGGTTCTGGTTCAAACTTAGACTTTGCTTTCTTCAGAAACCTTTTGCACATGATTAATTTGACCCCGGTTTTCCAATCACAGCACCAATATCTCTGGGGTCTGCAATAAAATCGTCCTTCATATTTTAATTTAACCTTCCTCCAGGGGAAAGGACTTATTTGAGTGGATAACAGACTGATTGCTCACCACCACATTTGCTCGGCTAAAACAGTGCATGATGTGCCCATATTTAAAGCCCTTCATTTAATACAACTTTTATAAACAGCAGATTTCTATATTATACTGTTTTTTTGGTTGTTAACATGTTGGAGTGGTTTGATAGTAACATCAATAGAAAGAAAGGAGAAAGAAAAGAATGTAAAGTAGTAAAACGCAAACATTTTATCTCCCTTATAGCACAACCCAAACAAGCAATTATAGGTACATTAAAGATAGAATACACTGTTTTAAATCCCTATTCATGAATGCAACTGTCCTTATTTCTTACCACTCTGAAAAACCAGGATTTAAGAAGTTAATCACAGTCATATTATTCATTGTTTTTGTCTGTTTAGAATTATGTCTTGAATTGAAAATATAAGGTAAAAAAAAGCATGAACGGTAAACAATGCTTTTTGGTTGTAACTCTCTATGCTGCCACAAGAGGGAGGAGTGGGTATTTTGCAATTGTAAATAAAGTCATTCCACTTAAGAAATTGTCAAAACTACTTTATGGCCAATACTTAAAAAAAAAAAAAAACAAGTAGCATGAAGTTCCTAATCTCAGCGTGAATGACAAAACCACATTAACAGCTCCAAAATATGTAGACGATAAAAGAAAGGCAGCTGAATTAAAAGTAGTGGTATTCAGAATGTTCCTACCTGCACAGCCCAGTCCAGAGGAGGCACAGCTGGAGGTGAGAGACGTGACGGTCTGCAGAGACACACCTTTTCAACACAAAAACACATTAGTACATTAGTACAAATTACAGACAATTTCACCTTTTCCAATGGTTGTGAGGTAAGTCTATGTTATGTGAATCACACAAAGACGCTAACTAATACAAAGTAAAAAGGCAAAAGAGAAAAGAAAAAAGTGGACAAATTAGAAAGTAGCGCGCGTAGGCAATCTTTATTTGTATTGTGCATTTCCCAGACCAAGGTCACTGAAAGCATTCACAATGTGGTGTAATGTCCATTCACTCTCCGCACACAGCAGACAGAGGTGAGACATGGGCACAGTAATAACGTTGCTATTTTTTCTTTCAAAATGCCTAGTATCGAAGAACCTTTAGAAATGCAAACAGTTCCAGACAAAACAAATTGTATCTACATTGAACCAAGCTGGACCTCCAAAGACAGAGACAAAGTGAGCCTTTAAACCTACCATTATTACTACTACAGTACATATACCACAGACAAAAAACAAATGTACACAACAATTATATGTAAAAATGTAACACATAACACACACAAACACAAACAATTCAAGTGACCAATATATTACATATACAACAGGTTTCTCAGGACAGAGATACTCATTTGTATACTTTACCTTCTTTGATTTGCAAGAGAGCATTTCATCCTCTTCACTACAAAGGGCTAAACTTGAAAGGAAAAGCAAAACAAAATAAAACATGCTATTTCTCTCTCTCTTACTCTTGCTTTCTTATATCGTGTTTACTCCCGTCTGCATCCTTCTAAAGAAACATACAGCTGGGTAAGAAAGTTTGGACCCACAATAGGTTGAGTTCATGTTCTAGAATTCTATTTCATGTTCTAGAATTCTATTTCATGTTCTGGAATTCTATTTCATGTTCTAGAATTCTATTTCATGTTCTGGAATTCTATTTCATGTTCTAGAATTCTATTTCATGTTCTGGAATTCTATTTCATGTTCTAGAATTCTATTTCACGTTCTGGAATTCTTTTTCATGTTCTAGAATTCTATTTTATGTTCTAGAATTCTATTTAATGTTCTAGAACTCTATGTCATGTCTTAAGCCCTATTGGGACAGGGTTAGTTTTACATGGGGACCCCTGGTAATTTGTGATGATCGCAGAGGACGTCTGTGATATTAGTCCCGTGCAAATGCGACATGTCTGTAATTTGTAAAAAAATAATTCCGCCGCAAATTACCTCCTGTATTTGTCCAAACACAGACGTCCTCTGATAATACTAATCCTGTGCAAATCTGCATGTCGTTAATTGTGATTGCTGTTGCCGCTTTCTCTTGACTTTCTGCGTTGTTTTTTGTCAGTGAGCAGAGGAGACGTGTATCGCGGCTGTGAGCACCTGCAGAGTCGCGGCTGCTGCTGTCTCTGTGAGGTCTATGGAGAAGTGTAGAGGACAGTGTAATGTGGTCACTGACACTAAATGATCAGACCGATGGGTTGTGTTCGTACATTTACTCTGCACTCTGTCCATACAGTACAGACGTGTTGATTCAGCCGTTACTAAAATTACAGACATTGCTTATCCCGTGCGAATGCGCTGTCAGATCTCAGACCTCCTCCATGATTATCACAAATTACCAGGGGTCCACAGGTAAAACTAATCCCGTCCGAATAGGGCTATAGAAATCTTTTTCATGCTCTAGATGTCATGTGGGTGAAAAACAAATGAGGCCCAAAAGGCAAAAATTGCAAAATGATGGATTTAATGAAAGTAATACAAATCAAGACCTACCAAAAATACAGGGAACGGACAGAACTAAAACAGACTAGGAATGACAATGACGGAACAGGGAGTGAAGGAACACACAGGGCTAAATACAAGACTAACGAGACACAGGTGAGACAGATGAGGGCAGGGCAGGAAATCAGACAACAGGAAGTACAACCAAAGAAGACACAGGAATAACACATTTCAAAATAAAACAGGAAATAAACTTAAACCATGACACTAGAATTCTATTTAATGTTCTAGAATTTCTATTTCATGTTCTAGAATTCTATTTCATGTTCTGGAATTATATTTCAGTTATAGGGCAGGTGCAATACAATACAAAATATCCAAGAAAAATGTATATCCAAATGTTTCCCGGATCATTATTTGATAGTGACTAGATTCACACGTCACACTACTCTGATGTCATAAAGTCCTTTCCTTTCATATGTATTTTTTAATAACACCAAACTCCTTGACAGTGGGTCAGGCCCTGTTTAGACGGAGATGCTGCGGAGACGCTGCAAAGCAATTAGCTAAAACGACCAGGCTCCTGCAGAGCGTTTAGACGACTGCTGAAAACGATGGAGTTCTAGAGCCCGGCAAGTACTTTAGAACCCCCAGCAGTTAACCACTTCCTCAACGACATCCTCCTCAGGCCACCGCAAAGACGTGAAAGAATGAACCAACATCATTCTGCATTTAACAGCAGCTGCAAAAATTGAAACTGGAGCTACAGTACACGTAGCATTAGTTGACCCCCCGCCATTGTTGTTTACGTTTGTTCTCGGGAACTGTGCAGGGAAGTGGAGGTCAGGTCTTAGAGTTGCAGCGTCTCCAGCTAAAAGTGCAAGACCAGTTGATATATACTGACAAGACGATGTCGCTTTCAGACAGTGTGTTTCATTTGGATTTGTCTAGGAATGACAGAGAAATTAGACGCAAAGTAAGACTAGAAATCTGACATTTACCAAAATGTTAAACCAAAGGCTACTCAGGAATGTTCTGATCTGTCACACAAACGTAACCTACAACTGTGAGCAGTAAAGGAAGGAATAGTTCAAAAACATAGCATGCAGTACTATTTCCACATTCCACAGAGCAGGGCCAGGTCAGAGGGGCGTGGCGATTTCTAAAGACCTTGAATCTTCATCATGGTCACGGCTTGATTGTGATTATGCCGTGACTCAATCAGGTTAAATCATTTCTAGATCTCAATTTACCAACGGGCGGGGGAACAGCTAGACATTACAAATGAAGGGAGATTCCTTTCCCTTCCAGCTAAGTCTCTGAGACCAAAGAGTGAGATCAGAGAGACAGAGAGAGACCAGAGCGAGAACAGAGAGTGGGAGCAGAAAGAGACCAGAGAGAGAGCAGAGTGAGACATGAGGGAGACCAGAGAGTGAGTCCAGAGAGAGAGAGACCAGAGAGGGAGTGAAACCAGAGAGAGATGAGATACCAGAGTGAGACAAGAGAGAGACCAAAGTGTGAGAGCAGAGAGTGACATCAGAGAGGGACCAGCAAGAGACGCCAGAGTGAGACCTGTGTGAGACCAGAGAGCGAGAGCGGAATGAGACCAGCAAGGGACGAGAGAGTGAGACCCGCAAGAGATGAGAGAGTGAGACCAGAGAGTGAGCCCAGTGAGAGACCAGAGAGAATCCAGAGAGAAAGACCAGAGAGAGCCTATAACTTCACCCCTTGTCACAATCTTTCCCTTGCTTTATTTTTCAAATGGATCACAATTCTGATTTGGGGTTTCCAAACATAGAATCGGAGAAGCGCACATAACCAAATACCAGCCTCTTGTCTCTCTCCGGCCGCGTGGATCAGAGGAATTCACTAATCATGGTTCAAATACAGCTGACTCATGCTCTCATTTCAGCAGCGCCGCCCTCACTTTTACATACTTTGACTTTTTATCGCTCCCTCTAGAAATCTGAGAGCCTGAAAACTCAGCAAGCGCCATGTGCAAGACCCAAGCAGCTGGAGCATCTTGTGTTAAAATCCACCTGGTTGTAATTACGAGCCGTTAAAATCAAAATACGGTCCAAAAAGTCCCTGGAAGCAGAGACTGGAGACTGTAAAACTGGTGGACAAAGGGTCAGAGAGCTAAGGAGGGGAGCATGGCCTGGCTCCAAGAAACATTTTATAAGAAAAGGCTGCATAATTGGGTACCCATATAATGTTATTTATTTACTTTTAATCCGTTGAGCTTTTAAGGCAATCAATAAGCATATTTAGAGTCAAGTTGTAAAACGTTTTTCACGAGGAGTGTGCGTTACGATGATGAAAATAAGACAGAATTATTTCCAAAGTATTTTTCTTAATATGATTTTCATGACTCTTGAAAATTACTGGTTTATAAAACATTAAAACATAGTAACTAATTTTTGTATTGGAAGGTTACAATTCATCCTACTATGGTCAGATTTCCTTTTATTGTTTTGCTCTGTATACAGTGTGCTCCAATTAAAAACTAAAAATAATGTTGTGATGAAGGCAGCTATGGTCACAGTTCTAAAAAGGTTGGGCCTCTGATACGGGTGCAATGTTCAACTTCTATTGTAACGATTATTGGCTTTAGTTAAAAATGAATAAAAAAAGTACAGGCATTCTTGACTTATTTTAACAGCAGGAGTTTCCGGAGTACTTCACCTGTGCTGACGTCCAAAGTTCACTCAGGCTGTATCATTAATTTAATGAGAGGTGACCAGGCACTGGCTCATTACTGACAACAACATGTTTGTGTTGATTACAAGAGGCTGTAATCCTTCTGACAAGCCTCTGCTTTCTTTCAATCAAGCTACAATTAAAGTCAAGAAATACCTTCTCTAATGGGAAAAACAGTATTAGATTGACTCTTTTCAGATGTTATCACCTGTAAAATAAATCCAATATTACTATTCCAAGAGCTGCTTGTTTGAATTCACTTTTTATATGAATTCAGAAGAGTAAGTTGCAATGCAGTCTTAAAATGGTCATGATTGTATTGTTAATGTGTGGTCTAAATCAAAAACGGATCATTATTATAATGTATATTTAATACAGTTCTCAAAACTGACCAAATTCAATTTACTGAAAGAAATGGGACTCTGAGGAACAAAGGGACGGGGCTCTTGTTAGTGCCCAGAGTCAGGACTAAACATGGGGAGGCTGCATTTCAGATTCATGCTGCTAAAATCTGGAGCAATCTTCCTGAAGATGTGAGACAGGCCTCCTCTCTGACAATGTATAACAGTTCTGTTTAGCTGTGCATACAACTGAGGGATATTATATTTTT